TTAAATACAGGTAAGTTTCGCTTATTTCTTTCTATATATTAGGAAAGTTAGGTAAAGAATATTTAATTTATCTAATTTTCCTTAATGTTAATATCAGTTAACTATTTACCTGTTAAAAAATAAACTCGTTTAGGTAAATTAGATTTATAACATAAAGAAGCGAAAAGAGAGCGATATTTTTAACTAGTTACTGTAGTAGTTATGCATCGTTTAAAAATGGATGGTGAACGTAAATTTTACCCTGAGAGAGCCTTACTAGTATTGAATTGTGCCATAGTAATAATAGTAACAATACGATATACTAGTATGTTATGATTAAGACGTTAAATATATGCGTTCAGTTGGAAAATGGATAAAAATTGCTTTTTTCTATACTCTTAAATCGATGGTATGCAAAATTTGACGATAATAATCGATTTTTTTTACAATATTAAAAGCACAGGTATGATAAAAGACAGTATATATGTCTAAATGCACTCTTTGTATATATTTATGATTTTTTGAATAAGAAAGTAGACTTATACACGGTATGAAGATCGTGTTATCGTAAGAAAATGTAATCGGATTTTCTATGTAATAATCTATTAGGGAGCAGACAAAGAAATTGATTTTATTATTTTTGCCAATACTTTTACAGCTATGATAATTAACAAGACATAATCTAGCTTCTTATTTTTGAACAATAAATATTCTTATTATTAATAAATGTAGATTACTAAATCTCAAGACACAATACATATCAGCTGTCACTTATTCCTTAGTAAACTGAAATGATAGACAATAAATGATAACAGAGTTGAATTGAATGTCTAAATGAAATTTATGTAGATACATCAAAAATATTGATCATCACGGATAGGTAACTACATGTTGAAAATATATTTATTAATTGTATATGACGTCATTGGGATAATAATTTAAAGTGGATTATAGAAAGTGGCGGTATCTTGTACCCCTTTAAAATGTGATGAATTATGCTAATTACCTGCTATAAGCCTATAACTTACAATATATAATTAATTACATCATAAAATATTTAAAAGAGATGTCGAAAACATTAGTCTATAATACTTAGGCAATATTACTGTTGAAAATTATTTTCTCCAAGGTAATTTATTAATTCATTTATATCCTATTGTGTAAAAAGTAATTAATATGGTTACAAGATACACAATAAATAAATAAGTTGGTATCAAAGGTGTTTACCGCTCTGCTATATCATCTGATATGATAGATTTACTGAGATAGCAAATGTACTAGCACTCACGTAATTAACTGTAAACATTTTAAAAGCAGAGGTTTACAACAGTACCCTATGTTATGATGACATTAGTTAGACATCAGAACATTACTGTGATAAGTGTACTGGAAAAGTAATTCTAATCGATTGATCTGTCTTCAATAATAAGATTGTTGGCAAGTTCTGCTAAAATATATTTACTCATTATCGTTACTAATTGCAAAGATTTTATTGTTAATATTCAGCTAGGATATTTTTACTTTAATCATCTGCGGTAAATAGTTAAAAATTCATATAGAAAAGACAAGCTCGTACCTCACGAAGTAACAAAACTGCAACGATAAAGGCATCTTATGATGGTATCGAGTACTAATTAAGAGGATAGCGGATTAATAGGGCTACGAATAAGATGTTATAAGAATCTACTACCGAATGAAATAGAGAATAGAAGAAAGCTGCATGAACTTTGCTGACCTCTTGCTAAATTAACAATATATGTAAACGTTACTAACATCAATGAGACAGGAAAATAGTAGAAAGTGTATAACTATAATTGCTTCCGAGTAATTTACTTGATGACAATTAAAATCTATTGTAATTTAATATAGCCTGGGAAGATTTTAAATACAATGCTTCTTTGTCAATTGTATTGATCAACCCGAAACATGGCCAAACTTCATTTTTTTGGGTGAAAACGTCAAATCAGCCAGTTTGTTAATTTAATGCTTTTCATTATTAACAATATCAAAAACGAAAAAATTTTAATATTTTATGCAATTGATTTACTTTACTTCGCTACTGTTAAGCAACTGAAACAACACTAAGCAAAGCAATATGTCTTTATTGTACCTAGCATAATTAGTTAATTTCCTAGCACATGGATTCGTATTAAGTAGCTTGTAGGTAGAACATTTATGATAACTTGATTGCATAATTTATGATGTAATATTCTACTATTTTAGTATTACATACGCATAAGATATTTTTCAATGACGACTTCAATTAATTACGGTTGATTTAGTTTATCAATATCTGAAGTATCTATGAATCCGGAAATTATATTTTCTAATATTTTGGCCACTACTATGACGATACAAATAACAGGACGGATGCTATTATTTTGGAATAACTTTATTTTTGTCTTTTACCTGTCTACTGAATGGCATAATACAGTATCAACTCATCGATGCTGGTATTTAATCCTGCGGAGTGTATGTCACTGTCAAATAACCAATTTAATATTATTATCAATTATAGGCGGTTACAATTTACCGGTACTTTGTAGATGACAAAGAGTAGGATGTTTTTAGTGCTATGAAGCACTTAATTTCATTAATCTAAGATAGTTATTAACATCTTCAAGTTTATGGGATGTAATGCACCGTGCTACAATTCTTGTATTGGAGCCTCTGAACAATAATATAGACTTGCAGTTTAAAAAAATATTTTTGTTGATCTGTAGCTATGACACAACAACTGCATTAGATTTATCAATATAAAATTAACGTAACCCGTGATTTATCTATAGACACGCAAATCACAATTGTCAGTAATGTTCTACTATCCTATAGGAATTAAGTATTTTTCTGAATAAAATAATTAAAATTTATAAAGGAGTAAGAGAAGTTTTATCCTGATATAAATGGGCTTGTATCAATACGAGTTGTATACTAGGATATTTTTCATTTCGTTAAATATTCTTGATGGACAAGTGATCTATAATACCTACTGTTCAAGCGATATACTGGTAACATTTATAATACTGTGGAAGGATTGAATATGTGTGTCATGAATTATGCTACTGACAGAGGAAAGAGTAAGTATACATGGAAGCGACTTTCCTAGTTGACCTTGGCTGATTATCATATGTAACAATCAAAAATTTTAATTATTTAATCTCATCTTTTACTCGCATTAACTGTTTATCATAAACTTCCGTGCTAGAGCTAATATTTTGACATTTTATGAACATTTATAATTAATAAATTTTACAAAAACATACAATCTTCAAAAGCAATTTGTTATCATAATATAATTTTTAAACATAATATTGAATTTTATTGATTGTGGTTGATGTGCCGTATCGATTATCCGATACCTTGCATCCTTCCTTTTTTCACGAAAACACAGGAAAGCAAATACGTGACGCCGATGTAAATTTAAGTGATTTTTTTGTTTGTAAATATTGTAAGGATAATACTTCTTCCTAGCGGAGATAGTTACTTCTTAGACTATTTAGATCATACATCAATGTGAACTTGACTCGTATGTATTATATGGTGTCGGAAAATTCGTTTCCGTTTCGGGTTTTGATTTTTATAATGATGATCGAATAGCTGTTTGGATTTAATAATAGGCAAATTTAATGTATTTAGAAAAGAAACAGTCAAGTACGATATATTAAGTAGTTTATTCCTCAATGTGCGCAGTAGGATATCCTAACTAATAGAACGGTAGGGATTAACATGTATGGCTATAACTTTAAAATAATTTATTCATTGTTAATGTATATGATAGCATAAATGATCAAAATTCAGCACTTACAATTAAATATCAATAGAGATAATAATTAATATAAAACTGTTGAAAATAATTAATTATGTCAACTCATGAATATGACGCCTTCAATTCTCATTTTATTTTTAAGTATGCCCATCAAATATATTATACAAACGTTAAGGATAGTAAACAATTATCGCATGATCATAATCCGAATAACATTTTAGGTTACATTATTGACGCAATAAATCAGTTATGTCAATTAGAAGGCGTTGTGCATAAATTCACTTTCATTAATAATATATATAATTTAGCTAAGCATTAATCATTTAAGTGACGTAAAAATATCTTAATTTACGGTATCATGAGAACTTAAATAGTTTACTTTACTTGAAGGCATGGGTTACTTGTAGAAGCTAGTTGTATAATAAATATTTATTGCAATATCAAGTAATGCTAGGTAGGGAAAGTATGTAGTAGTAAGTAGGGCTAATTTCATTGTACATGTGGTCATGTCAGACTATGTGTAATATGTCCTATTAAAATTCGATTTAAAGTATAAAAGTATTAGGTCAAAGTCTAATCAATTTATAATATTTATTTAATATCGGCTTACAGAAAGGTTGCAATAAAGTGCTATTTTGATAGTTTACATTAAAATCCGGAGATATTTTATTTTTACATCTTAATACTGTACTTTTATGGTAATTATCATAACATTATTCCTTAGATCGATATATGAAACATTTTACCTAATGTAATCGAGCAAAAGGATGTAAAATTCTTAATATATTGATGGGATAGAATCAAGTAAATAGTGATGCTTTGGTGTAGTTAGTATAGGTAAAATAACAAGGACTACATAATTGGTTTTCCTAATAGAATCCAGGATAATAAAATTTTAAAAAGAATCGATTAGAAAGTGTCCCTTGATGATATCCACGGATGAGATGGGATATTATTGTGTTAACTGTATGAGGCGAAGATTTGCTACATGGAATACTTGGTATTTTCATTCTACTTGAAGCAGATTGCGATCTTATTTTTTAATTTTACGTAAAGTACGACAGAAAATTTCTAGGACCTTTATCTATTAATTAATTACTATTTTAACACGTGTAATGAGTAAATGGAATCAAATTCCTGTAATTAATGATTAAAAACTATGCAACTAATCTTTGGATTAAAATTTTAATATTACTTATTAACGGTACGTAACCATTGAATTACTTAATGATAAGGGAAGACACTTAATCAAAGTTTAAACACCTATATCTCCCGTTGGCTTAACGACAACTTTGAGATAGATTGTATCGTTTAAAATGTAGTGACGAGCTTTTAACTGTTTATGCGAGGCCAACATAGATGAACCAAAGTAGGTAAAAGTATCATTTTTTGGCTTCATAAAAGCAGCTTGCTTGCGTTTCTTATCAGGAATTAATGAAAAAGTGATGTTCTTACGATCATCAAAATTGATGTTTTGATCTATTAATTCGATGGTAACTTTACAGTGAAATGGCCATGCCAGGATATCATCATATTCACTACGCATTAATTGTAAATAAACGGAGAGGTATTTGTTTTTACCAATGCCATTACCATTAGGAAAGATGACCAAGCTTAATTTATAACCATATTTACCTACTGTGAAGGGATCACTATAAATTACAGAATGTTCTCGACACTTGCGAGCTAAATTGAATTGCTTGGAATACTCGGTAATATAATAGGTAAAGCTGTGCTCGTTTCGCTGCAGCACGTCCTGCAGTAGATTCTCTTGCTGATGAATGATCTCATCTTGTTTTTGTATTATCCTTTCCTGGTTTGCTATTTGATCACGAAAAATAATCATATGTTGCAAATGATCTTTTTCCAAATGCTTCTCCATGTCGTGAACTTTTCCCTAAATTGACATAAAAACGATACTATGGTAAACCCTACAGTATTAATTAATTATTATGTCATTTATTTAAGAGGCTCGGAAGGCTATGTAACTATGGAAAAAAATTACTTTTGATTTTATTCATGGTATGACTCGTAATTAATTTATGATTATCACATTATTTTATATGGTACCATTAATCGCAATATTTTAACTAAGTACTTTATAATTTCACCCAAAACCAAGAATGCCACATATAGGAGGTATATTAATAACGACAATATACACAAGCAATAATTATCATACTATTACTTGCAACGCATGTACTTTCGATGTAGCTTTTTAATATTGAATTTTGCGTGAATTACTAATACTTGTGATAATTCGCCGTTAATGACTTTGCACTACGGCGTAATCATAGATTTAAATAAGTATTCTCTATCTATATAAATCAATTTTAGCTATTACTATAAATATTATGACAATCATTGATATCATTTTGGGTCTTAAAACCAATCGTATTCATTTATTGGTATGCTATTGTAGAAGAAAAGTAATGCTTGATAAGCACAGACTAATGTGAAGAAAAATTCTTAAAAAATTGCGTTTCTAATATAACTAGCAATAAATACAAAAGACCCATCAACTATTTTGCTTTGCTACGAGTATAAATAATTGATATACTGCACATCTGCTACATTGTAATTTATAAAGTATTGTAGTATGTTATCCGGGAGCTAATGGAGTTGTATCACGAATAAGAGTATATCCTTATATGTATTAGCTGGATTTATGGAAATCTTGCTACATTGACGACTATGATGCATTACAATTACAATTGTTATACGACATGTTTTAAATGGATATTGTTATCAATAATCATATAAATACCGCGACTATTAAGTTGAATTATTTATTAAATGATTAATGTATGGAAGTGTCGTACATTATTCAGACGATAGATATCAATTATCGAAATTTTCGATTTCGTTTGTTTTGTAAGCATTGAGTCGTAATATTTTTATATTGCTGTAAGTTAACGACGCTGAAAAATTATATTTAAACAGTGTGTATACTGACACATTTTATTTTCTTATTAAGCATATTGAAATAATATGTCCTGTCAGCCATCTTTGTAATACAGTAATGCATTCTTGTTCTTACGCCTTGATATTATACGTAACAATAAGTTACGATATTAAATTGCACTGGGTTCATAATTAAAACTGACGTGTGCCAATTTATTCATTTATATACAAATGATAAGCGAAAATAAATTAATTACGATATCCTATTTACCTTATAGGTACAACCTTCATCTGCAAATGGACAAAAAATGGGTTTAAACTTGCAGTCCTTACGAATGTGCCTATCGAACTAAGAAATATTGATCCGTGGATAAAGGTATAAACAGAGTTCATCATTATCTACAATATAACTTAAAAAAAATTATTTGAGTTAGCTATCGTATTAATAATAGACCGCTTCATACATATTTATAGCATAAAAATATGGAAAAAACTACTGGACAGTCATGGAGTAGTTCTACTTGCATGAGATTAATCATATTATTTTAGATACTACTACCGGACTATATACAAATATTATGAAAAGTAATCTCAGATACCGATATTGTCGATATCTGGGCTATCATTCTGTTACAAATATGTATACCTGTATGTCTCACCATATTTTGATGTCATAGTTAATTTGCTAATCATATGATCAAGAACAACAAAAGCCTGTATATATGACTTATCCTTGCGGACTTACATCTATTCGAGCTATTTTCCCGCATTCATCGCTGTTTGGGCAAGACACCAAGTACATTTGGCAAGCGTTCCAATGAGACTAAATAATTTTATTGTAGAATAACTTGGTTAATGCTATACGTACAAAAATAGCTGTTTAAATTATATGCTCATCGGAATGAAATATATTTAATTAGAACTTGTAGTTAAAATTATTGGAATCGTTTTATGTGACATTGTAGCTTAAGATTGGAATGCTAATAATAGGAGAAGCTATACATTATTTATTATCATTGCAAGGAGAATATGCTGCTACGTACACGCACTTTCTATACTTTATACAGCATTTTGTTCATTATGGTATAGTAGGAGAAAATGTTATTGATTGTGCGATCACCTTTAATTGATCATAATGGGTAGAGCATTTACAAAATTCGCAGAGAATTTCACGTTTACTGCAATTGGTAGAAATATGTTTTTCGATGTTTTGACGCTCTATCATTTCTTTGCAACCTTTAGGACAATCGATGATTTCAAATTGGCATTTCTTCAAGTGTTTCTATAAGTTCGATTGGAAACAAATGAAATTTAATTTTAAATTTTCACTCAGTAAAATTGCTAAAAGTATTAAAAGTGCCCGTAGATGGCAATAATTAACCAATGCTTTTCAGTCTGTTAGAATATTTCAAAGTCCCTCATACTTCCAGATCGTTTAATAAGCCAGTCCAATTGCAACCTTCTAAATGACGCTGGCAGCATACTTCAAAAGTTAAAATTTTTTGATGAATTGCTTCATCTTCTTCGACCTAGATGCATTAATTGTAAATAGACTATGGCGTAAGAAGTTATATAGCATTACAGAGATAGCCGTATTTATTTATTATAGTAATATGCTAGCATACAATACAGATTATATTTAGAAGTGTTTTACTATGTTCTTAAATATTGCTATAATATCTTCAGTTCTCGAATATTCCTATTTGTAAATAGCTTAGCTTGGGGAGATTTATCCAGGTTTTACTTACATTTTCTATGCTAATATTAACTCCATCTATTGGACATTTGGGGTTAGACCTTTGAAAAGCGAATAATAGTAATAATAAAAACTGGTAAATGTAGTAGAACATTAAAAAAAACAGCATATCATGGAAAAGGTGGTATAGATTTTATTTGCAGTAATGTAAAGAAGAATATTTCAAAAGAATATCACTAAAATTTCACTACAATTGTTAGAGGATTAACTCTTAGGTTCTTATCGGTTAAAATCTACGTTGTATCGTTTGGAAATTCATATATAAAATCTATTCTAGTTCAGTGTAATAATTGAAATTGACGTATGTCACCAATCTTTATGAGATATTCAATTTAAACCAATAGTTAAAATGGTCAATTTTCAAATTTTAGGGGGGGGGGTTACTCCGTATTGGCTATAATAATTACTACTATTGTAGATAGCATGATACAACATACAAAATACTGAATGATAATTCTACTAGTTTCTCTTACTTTGATCGAAGCACTTCTTTTAAGCAGCCTGAGCATGTACGATGGCCACAAGTTTTAAACTGGAGAGGATAACACAAAACATTACCGCATACAATACAGCGATATTTTTCGTCTACGTCGCATAGGAATTCCACATTATAACCATTGTTGTTATAAGCCATTTAATATCGCTACAATCACTGAATACTGCTATCCTAGTTTATTGCTTACTGTTATATTAAGGATTGACTCTTAAAATATTGGTAAAACAGTCTTTATTGCAGTACTATGAAAAAGCCGAAATTAGGTATGGCTACTTTTATGCGTTAAGGAAGATTATGGCCTATTGTTTCTTTTTTTCTGAAGTAAATTAAAATGCACATTATCCAGTGTTGGACCGTTGTTTGCATGTATAGAGCCACAGCTTACTATGATGTTTAAAGGAGCTCATGATATGAATTCTTAGAGATAAATAATTGTAAATGGTGAACAATAGCTGTTATGATCTATATCATTTTTCGATCTTTACAGTATAATTTACTATGCGGTAGTTTTATTACGCTTAAAATGTTATTACAATCATTATTATCGGTTTCCACTTCGGTTCATAATTAATTAATGTCTTTTGAGATTATAACAAAGGAGATATTTATTACGCATAATAAAATAAGCATAGTCCACGAATTAAGTTTTTAACTAACTCTTTATTACAGTAATTGGTTACATCAAGTTTTTTAGCTTCTCACTTTAAGTATGATTATATTTTGCTCTTTCACACAAATGATATAATCATGAACGGCTCTTACAGAGTGTGACTATTTGCAGTCAGTTGTGAGTTCACCTTTTACAGTGTTATTAAGCTTAAATATTGTAAGTACTGCAATTACTTTATTACTAGCTAATAAATAATAATATAATTAATATATCTAACACTATATCTAACATAATAGAATCTATCATCTTGATTTAGATGAAATAGGGGTAGGACATCTGAAGTAAATACTGAGAGAGATAGTTGAATATTCATTATACACGATTGCATACTGCAAATATCGCAGTCCTTACACAATGCAGAACTGCGTCCTGATAATTGAATAAAGTTGTAGTATGGTAAGAAATGAGTGAATAGGCAAGTCGGAATCATTTGTAATTGCAGCTTGCAGACAGTATGCAATGTACAAAAAAATTGGCAATTGCATTTACTACAGAAATTATGCTATCTAAACTGTAGCTGATAGAGCTTGTTAAGATCAGCTAGAGTTGAGCATTTTCCGTGTAATGTAAGCGTACTTTCTCGACTAAACTGGTTGCGGATACTCTCAATGTGATTGGAGTTATACACTGTACTGCATTGTATTTATTACATTGTAGTAAGACAGTGAAAGCACCAAGTTACCAACACCCTAATCCCATGACGATATCTTTAAAACATGTAGCTGAAAGAATTCTGTAAAATGACGTAATTTCTAATCGGATACTAATGAGAGTTGTATGAAATACTAATTTCTGAATCCGAATGATATAATAAATTCTCTAAAATACGAAAGAGAGTGCAATTCTGAGGGCTAAATTTAGAGAAAGTATGCTGTGCTATGCTACTAGAGGCCAATCTGACGAAATCCGGATAATATAAAGGAGGGTCTGAAAATGGTCTGATTACGAGGACTCCTGGAAAATTAGAGATAGAGGATTTTTTGTACTATGTCTGCATGATGAGAGAGCTCGTCGCTAATTAGAGATAGAAGGTTTTCTAGTACAGTGCTGTGACTGCATAACAAGAAGTCATCGAGAATTTAAGAAGAAGCTTTTCTTGTACTATGTCTGCATGATGAGAGCTCGTCGATAATTAGAGATAGAAGGTTTTCTAGTACAGTGCTGTTTTTGCATAGCAAGAACTTATCGAGAATTTAAGAAGAAGCTTTTCTTGTACAATAAAGTACTGTGTCTGCATAACGAGAGCTCATGGAGAATTTAAGAAGGTTTTCTTGTACTGCCTCTGCATGACACGAGCTCATAGAGATAGAAGGTTTTCTTTTACTTATCGACAGTATCGCGAAATAGTCTGGTTAGCAAACAAGTACAAGAAGCATGACGGAAGCTTAGAAATGTCAGAAGGTTTTGTTTTACCCTTTGATTGTAGGATTTGGCCGTAACATCAGTCCTTGGCCTTCTAAATGGGGATACTAAGTACAGTAGAGCATCCAACAGTAGAGGGAAATAGTCTAGTTATACCATAAAGATATTTCTTGTATCTGTATGAACTATACAATATCAACAGTAAACAAGTACGCGAAAGATGATGAGAGCAGGAATGGGCAATATCCAATATGTACAATGCAGTACTATGCGTTGTCCAGTTGATAGAGATATATTATTAAATAAAGACAACGTCCATTGAAAGAAAGACCGAGTCCTTGGTAGGGTCTCGTCTTGTCCATTTTCAGTTATCATTGCATTCTAACATAGCTACGATGACGAGCCAGACCCCTAACGGGTATTTACTGCTAATTCTGATAATACACTCTTTCTATTTATCTGCAGTATTTCTTTCTCGTCATTTCCATAGAGGTAAAAGGAGGTAAAAGGAATTTTTCCTTTTCGCGTTTTCCCTTTACCTATTTTTGGAATGATTTACGATACTTCAGGTAGCCGAGTAAGTCGGGTAGCTGGATATCTCTTGTAAGGGTCTCTGGTGTGGATGGTCACCCCCCTCCAACCTTATAGTAAAGTCCTCTAACAATTACAGTAGTGTGATTATTTTCGATGGCGCCCTGAAAACATATAATTGTATAAGCTAAATCAGGCCCAAACTAGATCAATTCTATATTTGGTTGTACCCTAATAACTCATATTGACATAGTACGTTCATGTTATCACGATAATCTATCTTCGGAGATATTCTTCTACGGGTATATAGAAATACTAAACAGGAATTTCAACGGAATACAACTTTGATTTTTGAACGAAGGGGAGACATCGAAAAAATCAGATTGTCCAGTACAGTGCACAGTACTACACACTGTAAAGATGTAGACTGTAGACTGTAAAGAGTCTACTGTGGTCTCATTGGTCAGCAGTTAATCTGGACTGCAAATGGTGGTTTAAATTTTTTACTCTTGTCGCGCAGGGACGTAAGCTAATATTCAGTTTGCAGTTGGGAGATTACCAGTACTCTAGAAGCTTCACAACTTGCAAGCTGTGTGATTATTATTTAGCAGAATAAGATACCGATCAAGAAAGGTGAATTGAACATCTCCCATTGGCAATTGGTAATCGCTCGATCAATTCTCTTGATGGACAGCATTGGTAATGAATGCGTTTCTCTCAAAAAAGAATATGACGAATGCTTCAACAATTGGTATGCTGAGAAATTTCTGAAAGGCCATTACAAAGATTCTTGTGCAGAGCTATTAGAAAAATATTCCGCCTGCGTATGGGTAGGTATTAAGTTGGACAATCTTGGAAGCATAACATCTGTTACTTATTGCTTTTATCGTGTATGACTGCTTGAGGAGACTATTCATTGTGAACCGAGAATTTTATACGTTGTCTATCAAATCATGCTGACGTCTGCTGCTCGGTATATGACTACAAAAATTACAAAAAACTCCATTAGCATAGCACTAGCCCGATGTTTAAAATACGATAAAAAAATTTCTATTCGTATGCGAGCTGGCGTACTACGTGAGATGTCTGTCTACTGATGACGGCAGTGCACACTGCACACTAGCTGTCTATTACAGTTAATGTGATGCAATGTATGGTAGGCCAAATGAATACAAAAACGATACAATGCAAGTGAGTGCTAATAATTTGAGTTTTGTACATTTACAGTACTCGTAATCTAAATATGTACTCTTAATGATGGATTTGTAACCTACTGCAAGAAACTGTTCGCTAGCTACAGATCCTTTTTGTCGGGTGCAGCCATTTCATCATTGTTTCAAAGTGATGCTAATCGTAAATCGTATACTGTACTCTACAATTATAGAAGCATCATTAATTTACAAATAAACAGCGCAGTGGCTTCTAGTATTTATACTCACTTGTATCTCCTACTGCACTATCGAAAGTTGAACTAAAATAACTCGATCTCATTTGAATTTTCTAGTGTGTAATAGTTTGAAAGTCTACCCTGCTATGCAGGACTATAGGTACAGTCCAACTGATGTGATAACGCCCTTGTTTACCATTTTAGGTCGTTTTGTATCATATGCCTTGGTCTCTCGATACTGTACTGTACTGCTTGGTACAGTATAGCACTCTAAAGATTGATGTCTTATTACATTTATATTAACAAGTTGATTATATTCTTATTTCAGAAAGCTGTCAAAGAGAAAAATATTAAAATTGACGATGTTACAATGAAGATTTTAAGTACTGATAAAGAGCAGAAGATACCAGAGTCAGTTGACAGAAATGATTCCGGTGCTACTTCAGAAGATTAAAAGATCGTCGCAGATTTATAAATAAATGATACTATGCTTATTTTAGCTCAAGTGAAGTAAAAGTGTGCTGAATTTTTGAATTAATCATAAATATATAATCTTGGCTTCTATTTCGCATATCCATTGTTATGATATGATACCATGTAATGTACATTTACTAATTTCGTATGTCACCTATTTCGCCATGTTAATAAATCTTCAAAGTAGACAGCTTCTGCATAGCTATAATGTACTGTACATTATGTAGTTTTATACGCTTGATGTAGCGTGTTATTGATAAATAAAGCTTCTGTTAAAAAAACATTTCATCAAAAAGGATTGTAGTTTGAAGATAGTTCTTCAACTAGGCGTTGGATTTTACATTCAGAATGAAGGATTACCGTTTTTTATTTTGTATCTTCATGGCGTGAACTAAATTCGTTTATGGCGCTATATCTGAAGGAATAAGAGTACGAGTGTCAAGTTGTGGCTCAATGTAGATTCGTGGACCTGATAATATACCATGTAAACAGAATAAATGCTTTATTTATTTTTCATTTAATCTAAATACTCTTAATAAGAACTGATGATGTGAACCTTACTTTAAGATCTCATCTCTACTATATCACTCCAATACAATATTGGCCGAACTATCTGAAATGGCCATGCACATTTTTGTATTACTATTATGTTATAGAACGGTAGCCGATATGTGTTTATAAAGCATGCTTGTAAATACATCAGGCATTGGGTAGATTATATTCAGTATGTGAATTACATTGTACGACGTAATAATCCGTATACAGTATGTACAATCTTTTCAGTACTCTTCAGTGAAAAACTTAGAGGAGTCTCTGGTTATAGTGTGTATCCTTAGGAACCTCTGGCATAACTGACTTAGCGACTTGAAATTAGGGAATTTTTTATAGAAAAAATTTTATCTTCTTGGTAACTTGTATCAGAAAGTACATGGCAAGTCTTCTTTCTTTTTTTTAGTAGTCTTTGCGTAAATGATCTTGCTTGGATATTGATCAATTAATTAATTATCAGATACTACGCAGTAGACACAGGATTTATAGTGTAAATATGTAGGATCTATTCGAAATCTTTTTGATAGTTTGTTTATATCATTTTGTTAGAATTTAGAATTTAATTCAGTTATGCTTGAAAAATAAACTGAGTTCGCCACATAATGCAACAACTTTTACATAAAAAAGACGTTGTAAAAAGTATTGCAAGTTATTAATTTATAGTACTTTAGCTACACTATAACTGCAATACGATAGTGCATACAAATATAGTGAAAAAATCCCGTATTATAACAAAACACAATATTCGCTAGCGTCTATATTTTATATTACTCGTAAGTTGTCTTTGCTAGCTACGTAAGACATCTTTAAGAGCGTTAACTAAATGTACAATGTCATCCATAACCGTATACACGTGAATGGAAAAGCGACAATAAAGTTTCTGTTGTATCAGTTTTATGCTAACTTCTATCCAATGCTTCTTATATAGATCATTTCTCAATTTCACTACTCCATCTTCAGTTAGATCGTATTTATGGTCTGGTAATTCGAATACACCCATAAATGGAGCAACCATATCTGGAGGAATTTGAAGCCGACGCGCTCCTTTCAGTTCGCGTTCTATGTAATTCATGGCCTCTTCTCGTAACTTCATATTGTAGTTTCGAATTTCGCTCTACGGAAGCAACAATAATTCATTCCTTAGTTCAGTTATATTGCAGACCAATCTTGAATATTAATCTAAGCTAGAAAGCAACTTATACAGGCATACAGTACCCGGTAGGTGATATTCTCATGCGATTCGAGAAAATGATGTCAACCTTACATAACTAATAGTACGTTTGATAGGCATAGCACTGTAATCTACAACTGGAATGTACATTTTATAGCAGCTAAATCAATGAGTATTAACTCTTGATTCCTATTAGCAGTCAGTAAATTGTGGACTGAAGTTTATATTTTGCCTTATTATTTATAAAATACATGAAAAGTACTCGTATGCAATGATATTGTACGGGTTACGGCTACTCACCAATCCTCCTAAGCTATGCAAGTAATCAACTCCGGCACCGGCACAAATCTGGGAAGAATAATCCCTAGTACCTTGGCGATAAAAGTCCAGCTCAAATCCTTTATAACGATAATGGGAGACTATTAAAGAGTGTGTTTGTGATATAACGGTTGAATTAGCATAAAAGATAGCACAGCCACGCGGAGTAAATGCCCATTTGTGCATATTTCCTGTTAAAAGACAAGTTAAACTGTGAATAAATAATAGCGCGAGATGCTTTCCGTAGTGTGAGATATTGTTAATTGTAAATACTACAACTATAATATAGCGATTCAAAATATGGGTAATAATAAATTTAGCCCTAGATTATGATATTAATATCGTTGTGATCCAATTTTAGAAATAGTTGAAATATAGTAGAAGTGAACTAGGAGTCTCAAGTGAAACACATGCATCCTCTAACAGTTATCCTTTAGCCAGTATAAAACAAACTCAACTCAACTATATCTTGAAGTTAGGTAAAAGTTATGACGCACAAGAAAGCAGTAATGTAGAATATAACATATCCTATGTTATTGCGGATACTATAAAATATTGTCAATGTGTACTTATACACTGTACGTGTAATAATTAATGCAACAAGTCCTAGCACTGCCACTACTCTTAGGAGGATGTGGAGTAAACGTCCAAACCTGTAAAGTAGTCACACCCAAGTTCGTCAAGATGTAGTTCAATTTGACCTGGCGCATGAGCTCCATCAATAAAAGATATAATGTTTCTTTCTCTAGCCAATTTTATGATCGGTTTTATAGGCATTAGCATAGCAGTGGGGCTTACTATGTAATCTATGATGGCAAATTTAATATCTGGATGCTCGTCAAACATTTGTCGGTAGCTGTTCACAATCTCTTGCGAATGACGAATGGGAAAAGTAAAATTGACAGAATATACCTTACAACCCGTCTCTTCCGCTATTTGTTGAGCGGCATACTGCATGGAGGTATAGGTTAAGTTATTGATTAAGATACCATCATTAGGAGTAAAGTTGGTCGACCTAAGAGCTGTCATGACACCTGCTGTTGCATTTAGAACAAAAGTCAAATTGTTACTTGATGATCCAACTAGCTCTGCTACGCGAGCAATACTAGCTCGCCAATGATGAAGTACTTCATTTAAATTCCATTGGAAAGGATTTTTTTCTGCAATTTCTTCATATTTACTCTTCACTTTAAGTACCTGCCTTGGTACTCCACCGTACGATCCATGATCCAATATAAACAAATGTTGGCTATAACAAAAGTCATTTTGACGGATTTCTTTACCAAATTTACTTTTGACGTCTGCTTGATCTTGTTCACCCCTTGATTTCATCAACGAATACAAAATATAGCCACCAGCAGCAGCAGATACTGCCAATGCTACATGAGATCGATCTATTTCTGACATGATGATTCCCTTCTACCTTCTTCGACACTGGATGCATCCAGCAATTGTGGCTAACGTGTCGATGGGGGTGTATGTTATATATGTTTCAGCCAACTTAAATGATTTTTCTTCTCTTTCTTTCTTTACCTCCTCCATAGGCAACACCCACGGCAGTACCAGTACCATACTGTACTGTACTGTACTGTACTGTACTGTACGTCACAGGCGCTACAAGCAATGTTTACAGTACGTTGTACTGTACTGTACTTACAGTACTGTAAGTTGTCCACGAGTCATTTCCCTGTTGCTCGTCTTTTTAGTATGTCAGTGGTTAGTTTTAAACGCGAACGCCATCCACAATATGCTCCTTATTGTCATTGCAATATACAGTATTGACCATTATTGAGAGATACAATACGTGATTTTAAAGGCCTGGACTCCACCACTTCATCATAGGATTTTTCGTAGACTTGGCTGAAACTGCTCTTGACACAGTATGTATTACTATGAGTGAAGCAACAGCTTAGAACAACTGCAGGCTGCAGCGACACTGAGTGTACTGTACTGTACAAGTGTACTGTACAATACAGGTACAGACTACAGAGTCCTAACTGCACAAGGACCAACGTGCTTACAGTCCAAGACTGAATGACTGACCTACAGTACAGTACTGTACTGTACTGTACTATACACTGTACAGCATAGTACTGTAACTCTGTAAGTAGTACTGTACTAGTCCACGCGAGTCATTTCCCTGCTGCTCGTCTTTATAGTACAGTATGTCAGTGGTTAGTTTTAACCGCGAACGTCATCCTCAATATGCTCCTTACTGTCATTGCAATATACAGTATTGACTATTATTGAGAGATACCATACATGATTTTAAAGGCCTGAACCCAACCACTTCATCATAGGATTTTTCGTAGACTTTGCTGAAACTGCTCTTTACACAGTATATATTATAGTACACTATGAGTGAAGCAATAGCTAAGAACAACTGCAGGCTGCAGCGACACTGAGTGCACAGTACAGACTACAGAGTCCTAACTTCACAAGGACCAAGGTGCTCGTAAGCACCCCTACTGTACAGTATTTGACTGTGTCCAAGACTGAATGGCTGAGCTAAATATTCATACTACAGTACAATACTGTAGAAAGACCTTTTGGTACTGTAGACTTTGTACTGTACAGTAAGATATACTGTACTGTAATACTGTACTGTAGACAAGTTCAACACGCACTTGCCAAAGCTCTGATGAGAATTGCTGCACGCCGGAAAAATGTCGAAAATTCTCCAAGTGATGTCCAGCCGATTACTCTATTCTACTGTACAACGATCATTTACTAGGTCGTTCCATGTTAGTTCTTCAGTAGCCAGCAAGTATTTACGTAGCAGTTTATTGGATAACTCAACCTCTGTTTTTCGGCTACCACCACAAGCCCAAAATTATCAATTCTTACCGAGACGTCTCCTCGCCTCTCAAAGTAAGTACAGTACAGTATGAACATTGCACAGCATGCAAAGATAGAAATTTCGATCTACGTACGCGTATATCATTACCAAACGAGTTTGCAAGCATTTAAATACACCTTATATCCTTTGGGGCATACTTTACTAAAACGCTAAAATATCAATGATAGCAAGTGCAATCAACGACTTGTAGAAGGTAAATGGACATTGCACAATGCAAAGCATGGCCTGCAGGCGACAGTATTCATATACCGTATACCTACATACAGTACTGTATAACTGTATGACAGCATGTGTCAGCAGATAGAAATAGCAAATACCATCGAGCTGCCGTCATGCAGGCTGCACCATTGACTTCGTCTATTGCTGGTAGAACGCATACTTGTATTTCAAGTTGATGCAAAGTCTATCATAGTACTTACCTTTGCAGAGCGTTAGCTTGCCGTTTACCATCGCAGCATGTTGTAGCTATTTGCTAATTAAAATTATCTATGATTCCATTAGGTATCACTAGGTATCAATGATATTTTGAAATTCTAGCACCGGTAGCATGATGCAATGCCATGCTGAACGCATGGTCATGGATAAATATAATACTGCAGCCGGTGATTGAAGCAGTTATTATTGGCATTGTTCGCTTAAAGTATTGCACTTGATGTCTTTGCATGCTATCAGTTACCAGTATGGGGGCAGTAGTTTAATCAGTATTAGCTTTTTCCTTCTTAGATTGTGATGGAATGCTTTCCTGTGCCATTGAAAGGCCTAACATGAATTTACTGACTTTCGTTTTTTCTGAACGTTATGAGATATTGCAGCTTTTTCCTTCATTCTATACACATTTACATTGTTACTGTTTGTGAATATCTATTTGTAAAACGGTAATAATTTTCTACGCTGTCTAAATCAAGCTAATGATCATTTAGTTAATCTTTCTACAGCAAATTCAGATCTATCATTAACATTACTGTACTGTAGGTATGATAAGAATTGGATTAAAGGTTGCGAAATACTGTACAGTAAATCACCGATCGAATTGTATCTTCACGTGTCAATATTAGTTACCAGCAATTTTGTAAGCAATACTGACCGGTAGACATAGACCGCATTGGTTACATATAATTTTAAATACTATGGAATAATGTACTGTAGGTGCTGTATACAAAAATATTTAAAATATTGAATTTCACGATATCTATTATACTGTAGCATAACCTATCCAATCTAACATACAGTACGAGTAAATGAAAAGAAATAATGTAGCGCCTCAAAAGTTTCTACAATCTCTATTTAAAGATCATAGCATTCGTAGTTGTGATCGATATATGCAGTATGTATTCAAGCATAGGGGATAGGAGATATCCTGAAAGTAATGCAGATTTCTAGAAATTTTGTTAGTGTACAGTACAATATTCTATCATTCTGTCTTATGTAGGATTGGTTTTAAAATTTTTGACATCTAATTGATATTATTTTAAGGTGATGTGCAGGCAGTTGACTATTTCAATCGAGAAATTGAACTGGAATCCCAAGCATTATCAAATCTCCCAACGATAAAGAATTTTAAAGTTAGATTTTAAAGAATACATCTGATTATAATTATGATTAGTCTTTGAAACAGCTTTCTCTAACTACCTCTGTGTTCTTAAGCACGTTTGCTCAAATTACCTAGTACGATCAGGATTATCAGCTACGATATTTTTGCTACGTCATGTGTTGATCTAATGGTCTAATTGCTAACATTTTAGATAGAAACGTAAAAGTTGATTATGAGATGTAAATTTTAAATATTCTGCATTGGATAGTAAGTGATAGGTAATGATCATGAACATAGTATTCATGTACGATTTATTCTGCCTCTAATTGAAATCGTAGTGTGAAATACAAGGGACTCGTGCAACTTTTTGTCGAGAGCTAAATAACGAAAGGTAAGCTAATATTTTATAATCATCAATTACATCCTTTGATCGGAGGTTTTTAGTAATAATGTAGTGAAACTATTAAGTTAACAAAACATCAACTTATAGTACACTTACAACGATATCGTATGACACAGGACCCAGCGAGACTTGCTAATACACTAATTCATTTTCATTTAGTATAACTGTTACTATGGATATCAATGATAACGTGGAATCAAATATACCGGAATTTGATCCTGACGAGAATGTGGATGAGGACGATATAGATGGTGTAAGACAATGATATTGCGTAGAGTAGATGGTGTAATATTTTCGATAAGATTTTATAATGAAAGGTATATTAATGTATCGTGCGATTCTTTCGGTCTTTAGGTATCATTTATGCCAGTATTTTCAGTTGAAATAAAGAAAAGATTGGTATAAGCAATTCTGCATCACTTGAATAACTGGCAATAGATTGGGGACTAACGTTCTCTTTACTTTAGGGAGATAGGATATTTATTCACTGCTCAATCGATACGGAGAGTACTCCAGATACCCCGTTTTCTTTGAATGAGATTTACGTTCTTCCTAACGGTGTTGACGAAAAAAATGCATACTGTACCCGAGCTGAGAATCAAGATTCGGTAGGATTGTTGTCATTGATATTCTATGCAATGATCTTTTTTTGCAATTTATACTTACTGTATATACGCTAATGTAGTAACAGAGTAGCACTTGATACGATATCCATTGCAAATATAGCGGTAATACTAGGAGCTAATATAATAAATACAGTTTTCAATCAAGTTATTGCTTTCACTGTGCAATTTTGGATTTAAAACATATGATTGACTGCCGTTACACATGGAGGCCTTCAAAATCTGATTTTGCTACATTTTTCTTTTATAGGAATTTTACGAGGTTATATATAATAGCTTGAGAGACCGAGGAATAGATCATAATTTTGGCCAACAGTTGAAGGATTTTTGTGATGTATTGGAGCATTCGGAGTATTATAAGTTTTTGCAAACTGTCCGTGATTTCTTTAAAGCGGAATAATAAGTTATTATTCATCACAGTCTAATTTTATAACATTTTTTATCGATACATAATTAATTTGAATATCCAGTGCTAAGTTCAATTAATTATTCAGATGTATGATATAATTAACTTGAATACGTACTTCCGCTGTACGCTGTCCTCTTCGACATTGTTAATTTCATTACAATAAATTTCTTTATGCTATGCAAGTAAATTATATCATTTAAATTAGGATACTGGGCTACGATCTATGTTATGTATAATAGGTTTGTAATTACTGCTAATCAGCCAGCTACGAAATGTATCGAGTATTATTTTGTATCAAGATTTTTGAACGCTCTTTCACAGCCGTTACTCAATGGTTCAAATGGTGCTCGTGGCAGCGGAATGTTAATTATATTAGAGCATTATATTTCAACATGTACCTCCATATGGCACTACCTTCAGTAGCGATCGATATAATATTTCCTCAGATGAGATTTCTCTTCTCTAAAATGGATAGACATTTATCATTGAATGACATTAAGAGTGTAATACTTTCGATATACTGTACATATATTGTAGCCTTATAGGATTGTCATGCAATATGCAGATTTAACTGCCTGACAAGTAGGTGTTTTCTGCTAGTTATTAATTAGATGACGTAGATACCGTAAAACCGATATTACTGCTAATATCTAAAGTGAAATGCAACAGCACACTCGGCAATTTGGGCAGGTATTGATGATACACCTGAAACCGATGAACTGAAAGCCAACTTTAAAGCGTAAGCTTAAGTTTATAGTAACTGTAATACTGTACACGTATGTATAGAATTTTACTCATCATTATACAACGCATCATAGGTTTGTAGTGGGATTGACGAAGTGAAAGTAGAGCTTTCTTAGAATAGAAATCGACCTAAGTATCCACAGATAGAATAATGCACGAAAAACGATCGTAAAGATTCACATAATAAATTTGTATTCCTAGTTAATCGGTAGATAATATACAGTTTTAATCCAAGGATGCCAATTAAATAATAGAACATTTTAGAAATTTTTGACTTATTGAGTTATGCTAGTTTGAGCCTCTTCATATATTAAATGAAAGCCACGATTAATTTATTTACAAGCATGCATCATGAACTGCAGTTATCAAACAAGTGATGATTTATTGGAAATATAGATAAAAAAGCTTGCCAATTAAAGCTTGGTCATTCTTTAGCGTTTAAATCGCTAGAGCTACGCATTTTCTCGCCTACACATAATTTAACAGCTATTAATAATATAATCTTCAGAGTTTGAATCCATGTAATAAATTGCCGTTATGTACAGTTTGACTTTAGTTCTAGTATCTTACTTGTAGGAGCGGTAAAGTAGTCTTGAAATATTTTGTGAGCATTTCCTAATATTTCTTCTTTGTTTACAGTTTCTCCATCTTGACCAGAATTCATGTACATTTCTCTACAAGATATTAATAACGCAATATTTTATCTTCAAAATTGTCGAAGAACAATAATTTCTTAAGAACAGCTACTTCACATTTCATTTATGAAGTAAATAAATTGCGAACTTAGTTAGGCAAGGTTACATTGATTGATTACAACTTCTTAATAGCAATAGTTATTGATAGCAGGAATGCTATGATACCAACGTCATGAATGGTTAATACAGTGACAAATCGATTAAATATATATTATCAGCTTGCATACTGTACCTTTCATCGACACAGGTGTACATAGGATCGACATTCTTGGTATCAACTTCTTGGAGGCGATCTGCTGCGGATATAATGGTATTTAATTTCTCCAATGCTTGATGTTTTTCAATTGGAGTCAGAGTTAACTCTTCTAAATATGTTGTGTCACTTTCATCTAGATATTGCTGTAATAAGCAAATTTTAAAGTAGATTAGATGTAATAATTGGAGACACGTAACAGAATTACGCGTATATCGCAACGCTTGTTTCATGTCAGGCCATCCCACAAACTTAAGAAGGCAATAATATATGCTGCAAGTACTGTAGGTGATTCCGCGATTACAAATGAATATTACATGTACGCATAAAATAAGAAATCCTGTATCAGATAAAATGACTTTGCTGGGACGGATTGTAGGCCAGTGAAGTATTATTGTCTACTGTATAAATACGTAGATCTTACAAACAACATAAGCAAGATCCTTATAAGTTAAAGGGAAGTTATAGCCTTACAGGCTCGTTTTCATAAAATGACTTACAGTTATATACTTTACTTATATACTTATGAAGGAGCAAGTTGTCAAATACAAATGAACTCGTTCATTCGATACGTTGGCGCAACTACTGTACTGTATATACTGTAGAACTTTAGAATGATATTGTGAAATTTTTCTCTTTTACCTCCATACTACAGTACGGTAAGACGTGTAATTGCATATTTTTAGCACAGTATATACTGTACTGTCCAATGTTCATACAATAATGGTTATGCATTGACATCAAGTGGTATACTCTTTATTAGGGAGCCTGTATCAATTTTGAGGGAATAAAATAGGAATTACAGTTTACGATGTATTGCATCCGAGTTGGTATACTGGAAGGTTTATAAACTACTTGTACATCAATCAACTACTGCTCAAGATAAACACAGGCTGACAAGCGAATTTTGAGGGAAAAACTAGGAATTACAGTTTACGATGTATTGCATCCGAGTTGGTATACTGGAAGGTTTATAAACTACTTGTACATCAATCAACTACTGCTCAAGATAAACACAGTCTGACAAGCGAATTTTGAGGGGAAAACTAGGAATTACAGTTTACGATGCATTGCATCCGAGTTGGTATACTGGAAGGTTTATAAACTACTTGTACATCAATCAACTACTGCTCAAGATAAACACAGGCTGACAAGCGAATTTTGCAAAAATAAATTATCGTCTAGACGTGAGGAAAGCATAGTGCATAGAAACCTTCAGGACCCCTTTTAATAGTGCATGAACACCTCGTGTTTGTACAATACAAACCTTGTTTGGGTTTCTTTCCCAATATTCATTTATAGACCATGTTGGTTGAGGAGGAATCTGTATATAAACTGGAATTAAGATCGAGAATACATGGATTGTATACTATTATATAATTATAATAACTATCTAAGATCAATTTTAAAAGGATACCGTTCAAAACAAACAATAATGTTACTATTGGATACGTTACATAATAAAGCAATCTGACTTGTATATCCTATTCTATAATAGAATCATCCTTCTATCACTTTTCTTTTCCACTCAGAAGATTACGTCATTGGATAAAGTGAAAGAAATAGCGATAAGGAAATATTACTTCCATCGTCTACACGTATGGAATCCAATGTTAGACGGTGGTAATTGTTAGGCTTCTTGCCAATATAGTATCAAAACTATTGGAGAATGATGGAGGGATTTGTCGAATGCACTTGACTATTGGCATTAAGGTAACATACGATTACTCGTTGTTTATGATAAAGTATCGCCACTTACCGCAGCTATTGAACGGATGTGGCAGTTGAAAGGCTTTGCCAAGATTTGCGGAAGGTTTAACAGCCATCGATGCATACCTGCACAGCAGCAATAGCGAATTGATTACTCTTTTATATGCGTAGTATTCCTATTCCCAAATATGGATACAATGTATATGCGTCTATTATTTCTGTAGGATGGCTTTCTTTCACCTTGCTCCACCCTGGCTCAGAGCTCAGCAAATGATGGACTCTTATTGAACATATAGATCATAAAGGTATTAACAAAACGATGCATACCTGCACAGCAGCAACAGCGAATTGATTACTCTTTTATATGCGTAGTATTTCTATTCCCAATATGGATACAATGTATATGCGTCTATTATTTCTGTAGGATGGCTTTCTTTCACCTTGCTCCACCTTGGCTCAGAGCTCAGCAAACGATGGACTCTTATTGAACATATAGATCATGAAGGTATTGGACCGAACCGAACCTTTCTCAGGTCTAAATTTGAACCCATACATAACAGCACTCACACTGGAAATTTCATTTACATTGGCTAAGAGAAGAGAACTCTGCTGTCACCGGGCTTGCGCGTTGCGACTGATTGGGGGTTACGACCGACTGACAGACGGGTGCACTTGGTTCACGATTTTGATAATAATAACATCCGAATCATAATATTCACTCCAGGACAGTACGAGTTATGCTATAAATCTGATTTGGGATGATTGACGATACTTGATTTGACCAGAGTAGCAGACCCCTACAGTACAGTATATTGATGGGAAAATATTGATCAAAGCACGGAATGACGTCTTCAATTTAATTTGGAATGATGTACGATAACTGATTTTACAAGGGGTACCAGACCACTGCTAACGCTGCTATATGGATGGGAAAATATGGATCAAAACCCCGAATCTACGGTATTCAACCTGATTTGGAATGATTGACGACAGTTGATTTGATCAGGGTAGCAGCCAGACCCCTGCTCTATTGATCAATACACCGAATGGCGGTATTCAACCTGATTTAGAATGATTGACGATAATTGATTTTAGCAAGAGTACTACAGACTACAGGGTGTCTCATAAAAAATCTACGATGATTGAAATGATATGAAAACGTAATATTATGACCAAATTAGACAAATTTGGTATCAATCGATAGCTTAGATGTGTAAAAATTCAAATATCGAAATAAAAAATGGAAAAAATATCAATTTATACAGTAGATCAGAAAGGGATTGAACCGGACCGAACCGTTCTCAGGTCTAATGAGTACAGACTGTCAGCAGTATTGTACTGTACTCAGTGTGCTGTCCTCTTGTACAGTACAGTACACCCAGAACTACAGTATACTGTACACTGTACACTGTACGGTACAGTACCATCCTGTACTGTTCGTGGTAATCGGTAGTACCGCACTGTCATGCTCAGTACAGTCATGCTCGGTACAGTCATGCTCAGATCAGGTGTCATCAAAGCAGGCGGCCGATGACATAAAAATAAATTTCTTGTTGATTTTTTTTTCATCGACCATTTTTCCATCCGATTGCTGCAGCGATTGCCGATCGGACCAACTTTATCCATTTCTATTGGCAAGTTCTCCTGGTAAAACGAGGCCAAATTCATTCTGCAATCACCAGGAAAGAGACAGAGTGAAGAGAAAGGGCCATTTCTACCGGTGATGATGAAGTTGTCAATCGCTAAACTAGTTTACGGGTGATAGAATAGCAAGAAGCGCGTTATTAAGTAGTTTATTCAAATAGCAATCGACAACGATACTTGGGTAACGATATAATCGGCTTAAGTTATCACCATTTTAAAGCGCTTCCACATACGCCAAGTCAAGAATCGTAGTGTAAAAGGTAGGCCTATGCGTATTCCATACATTGATACGTAATCCAGTTGCTGCAATGTTTGTGTAGACTTTAGGGAATATGCAATTTTTCTTGTTCTTCGCCTGACTACCGGTAGTAAAGGCGATAATTGTATTCCATTTTGGACAGTCAAATTTCTCAACCAGTTCATTATCGTTCGGGTAGTCATTGATCGACTTGACAAAGTCAATATACTGTACGCATCATCAATGATATGCAAATTCCAACCGATAGTATATACTGTACTGCCAAAATGATTTATTATTTTGATGTCCTGCAACTTTTTTTGCCTTCCCACCTTTTCAACCTTAAATAAAACTACCTAGAGGTGTCGATTTGACATCAGGTGTGATAACCTCCAAGACGAATTTATTCACTGCCAATGCTAACCCAAATGCATGTATTTTACAGAATTTGCCTATTCATCGTTCCGCTATTTTGGCAGCTGATAACCGCTCTAGAGTTAGTTCGTACTCTCAAGTTCTAATTGCCTTGAAGCTTATTGTATGAAATTGACATCCAATATAAACTGGACAAAGTAAGACCAAATTAATTCTACGTTTGGTAGAAAAGCCAAATTTGGATTGACATGATACCAACACCACTGTCGTAGAATAACTTAATCAACATCTTGTACTTCGACTTATCTTTAGTTTACAAGTAGACTATAGCGCAATCGATATCCAATGATGGCTTCTAATCCGAATTCAGAAACTACTCCTCTCATTGGTAATCATACAAGCAATCACAACTCTTCTACATCTCGTACCAAATGGAATAAAAGAAGAATTTATGCATCCATTCTTTTGACCGAAACCCTGGAAAGAATGACCTACTATGGCCTTACTGCCAATTTAGTCATTTACCTTTCTTTAACGAATTCTCTCAATGTATCTAGCTACTACTCCATATTAATACAAAATAGCTTCAATGGTGTTAAATTTTTCATGTGCTTTTTTGGTGGCTGGTTTGCCGATGCCTATGTTGGTCGTTATAAAGCAATTATTCTCGGTTTAATAACTTATGCTGTAGGCATCGCCTTGTTTCCTATTGCAAGCATACCCAATTATTTCCCTCAATATCAGCATAAACATTTTCCAATCAAGCCATTAATCATTAGCGGATTATTTCTTGTTGCTATTGGTTGTGGATTAGTCAAGTCCAATTTACCACCTTTTGGTGCTGAACAGGTCAAACGTAATCGTTCCGGTAGAAGTAAGGAAGCGGTGACTCAAAGTTTCTTCAATTGGTTTTATTGGTCCATTAATCTTGGATCATTATTGGCTTATCTAATAGTAGCGTACATGCAGCAAAAGCAAGAGAGATTTTTCGTTTCCTATCTCATCTTGGTGACTTGTATGCTGTTGGCTATTGTTGCATTTCTAAGTAGTCATAATATTTATCATCTACATCATCGTCCATCCAATCGAGTTGGACAGACTCTCCGTTTGCTTGCGCGACGCTGTTGTTGCTTCAGTCTGCGTTCTTCCCGTCATGATGTCGATCATCATCGTCCTACGCCTACTGACTATGATAACGCTCATAACAGTAGCCACTTAATTCCGCCATCAACTCCAGAACGACTAATAAGTAACCCAGAACATAGCGGTAATCCAACCAATAGTGCCATCAATGAAGCTGAAATCAAAAATATTAAGAAAATTGCCATTATTTTTATATCATTACTCCCTTTTTGGGCCGCGTATTCCCAGGTAACATCTTAACCCTTATCAATGATACCATTGCTAGGATTGCTAACACAAGTAACCTATTAATTGTTATCATTTTAAGTATAGTGATATTTATTTACAAGTACTCATCTTGAGCTAAGTACACTTAAAGATTGACTATCCTTAGCATCGATATATTGAAAGAATATAACTCGACGCTTTTTGACTACAGTTCGAAGCTGTAATTGTCTAGTTTTTTATAGAGACATTAATATACAGTAGTTGCTGTTACTATTTTCACTTTTTAAAATGAATCATCTTTTGCTTTAACATCAATTTTTATCACGTCAATAATACTAATCAATGCGTCATATCTCCCCTGTAGATGCAGAGTACTTACTTACTGCAAGCCCTTCATTTGAAGCTTTATCCTCAAAACACTCATCCCAGTTTTGTAATCCCTGTAGCTTGGTTATCGCTATTCGATATCTTCGTTATTTTAGCCTTTTTACCGGTGCTCGATCGATTTATATATCCTTATTTCGAAAGGCTAGATAGACCTATTACTGTCTCAATACGTTTTGTAATTGGTTTAGTGTTTGCTTTTATTTCGGTATTATGGGCGGCTGAATTGGAAGTGATTCGTTCAAGTTATGGCGTATTAAATCAACAAATCGGTGATATCCTTGTTCAAGCTTCAGATGTTTGGGTATACTGGCAAATACCTCAGTATATCTTTATTGGGTTTAGTGAAATGTTTGCGTCGGTAACAGGTGTGTAACTCCTGATATTGCATCAAATCGTTTATACATATCAACTCTTCACTCTAGAATATTTTAGATAAAATAAATAGAATCTTTATTTGTTATATTGACACATTGATAGGATCTACATGATTAATTTATGAGTAAACTATACTTATATCTTAATTATAGCTATGAAATTTGCCTACTCACGGGCACCTCCTCATTTACAAGGTACTGTCATGGGATTCTTTGACCTCATGACTGGAGTTGGATATTTTCTTGGGCTTGGCGTCTTAGCAATATTACGTAGTGTTGATTTATTGAAATTGATTAGTCGTGTTCGAAACACGCCTGGTATGGGAGTGTTTGAAAATTCACGACTTGACACCTATTTTCTCATTTTAGCGGCTATGATATTTTTAACTATAGTCATCTTTATAATTTTTGACATAAAGTACAATATTGATGTTCTCAATGTAACTTCTAGTGCTAAAGTTACATCGAATAAGGATGTAACGCAATCTGGGTTGTACATCAATGATCGCGTTAATAGCCATGTGAACGATAGTGGCATAGTGACATGAATTATTTTAATCTAAAATATCAATATTTCAACTTTAATTGCATTTAATTACCCTTATTTACAATGTTGATGATTACAAGAATCGAGAGGGTCGTCTATGTCATCGTATACAGCTAACGAAATACGATATTCTTACGGAGTCATTCTGACAGTGTTTTAACAGAATTTATATTTCAACAAGAAGAAATATCATCTATCCCGTACTCATAAGGATATCTTTACGCGATTAGAGTACTAAAATAGAATAACTGACTATTAATTTCAACCTTACAATAATCAATTCGTCCATAGTTTGGCGTCCTAAAATTCGTATAAGAAATTGTGTTGAACTTCTAATAGAATTGAAAAGATAATAGTACGCCTAAAATGTTTAAACTTGTTTGTAAATAAGCTTAATGTAAAAATCGATTTTACTAATGCTCACTACTAAAGTTTTAACTCCTGAGATTATATTGAGAAACCTTTAGATTTTGTTCTCAAATCATTATTTTATTAAGTAAGACTTATAATGTCTTAATTCTGAATATGATATCTGAGTTTAGTAGAAGTTATTCTTTATGTCTACGATTAGAAATAAACATATTTTACGAAATATTTCTGTAAGCGTAGGATTTAAAATTAATCTTGACATGCAAGTCCTTTGAAGAGTTGATATTATATTGGACTAGTGTTCCTAATATCATTAATATAGACATTACTCGTACGCTAGCTTACAGTTAAATTAATTTTGAGATCTTGACGCGTCTTTTTTAACTGTAGTAATCAAATTTTACCTCAAATCATAAAATCTTATATGAAATTTATTGTAAATTTATCTACAGCAAGCCGAATACGCTACACTTAATTACTTATTTTTAGCAATCGTGCAGGAAAATGTTCAGTACTTAAGTTCCAAGCAATTACAGTTAATGATTGATCTTAAACTCTATTACAATGGTTACAGAAGGATATTGTTAAAATATTTAAATATTATTTTACAAGTATCATCAATGGCAATGCAATAATGAATTTGTTAAAAATTTAAAGGTTATGATATGTTATGATACATTACTACGCAAGTTTGAATAATTGTTTAGAAATACGTAAGATACCATAGATATATATGAATTAGGCAGAATTTAATTAGAATTAGCTTCATTTTGAGTTTCAGTTTGATCGACGGATATAGGAAAGCCAAGCACCTGCTCTGCAAATGTATTAGCTGATATGTTTTCAGATAGCTGCTCTTCCAATAATGTTTCACTATTATCGGTCGGATAGTAAGAGGCAGTTTCCAGACTTCCACCAATATCAGAGTATCCTAACAGAGTTCCAAAGCATTCTGCTAGCTCAGATTCAGTAATATGCTCGCCTATATTAGTCAAAATAATTAAGTCGTAAGTACATTTTTGGCCATATCTGTTGTATTTTAGTTTTAACAGATTGAGTTGTACACTGTAAGTTTAGTTTATTAATAAATATAAAAATGCTTAATAATGTTATATAGATTTACCTTTGCTCTGCAATACTTTTAGTAAATCTCCTCGATCGATAGTGTATTGACCATTCTGTTCAATGCCAAGGATTTTAAATACCTCATTTAGACGACCAGGTGGTATACCGAAAGCCGGTCGATGATTAATGTACACTAAAAAGTAAAGGATTATATTATTCTAAACTAATCTATTCATATATATGTATATTTATGGCGTATCTCTAAGGAAGATTTAGGCTAATGTAAATCGATGTTTCATTTTAATCAAGTTTTATTTTAGTTAATCATAGGAAATATCTTACACTTAATTAAAGATTCTAGGTCTATTTCTTCAACAAATTTTTCAGTTTCAATGTATTCACTGAATTTAATTTCATTGACCATATCATCAATCTGTTAATAAAAGTAAATTTCATGATTAATTAAATCAGAGTAAGAAAACAAAATGACTTCATCTACGAAAAATTTAATAATACGTAAATTAATGCATCAAGAAACTATATTTTGTATTACTATACTAAAATAGATAGTTAATGCTGAGGTTAATCTAATGAGTTGCTTTATTAACTATATGGAGATAGACAATTATGAGCCAATACTTAATTCTGGACATTCGTATGAGAACGAAGCACAACTAATCCTCTTGAGCAAGAAGATTACAATTGTGTTTTGAGCGTGCAAGGCTAGTATCGAGGAAAGTACGGTAGCAATTTACCAAATAAATAACTATTCTCAGTAGTAGTAAATAAGTATGGGTTTACCTCTTGTTCGGTAGGATAGAAACCTAAAGCTCGCATAATGTAAGGTATTTGTCTCAATGCAACTTTAGTTGAGACTTTTCTCGACTCCATGGTGTCGATACCTTGACTGAAAATAACGTAATGTCCAATTTACATTAACATTGACCGTATACAAGTATAGATTAAGATGAACTATGATCACTTTAGATCCTTATCAATTATTAGATTTTAATGCAAATGCTAGTTTAAAAAGCAACTACAGATGATTAAATTAAATAAATAAAAAGACTTACGTTCTAATCTGGGCATAGTAGAAATAGTTTTCCAGTTCGGCGAAGAGTTCACCCTCTCGGCCTCCATCCATTAAATTATAGAATGGTACCATATCTTCGCCGCCAAGATGAACAGCTGCTTCGAGAGCTCTGTACAGTAGAAATCCCATTAATAATTGATATGTAACTGCTAGGATTAGTTTAGTAAGATTGATTTTATTTCTATAAAATGTTTATCATGACTTACTCGATATTGGTTTTCCACATAAAAACTGTAGAATCTGAACCGCCTGAGGTGAAAATATGCTGACCATCATAAGAACAAGCCATATTGGTAACCTGTCAGAATTAAATTTTATCTTAGTCCGTCTTCACAAAGGTAAAAGATTTTAGTTCAATTTAAGAACGTTCAGAATACTGAGGAGTTTATATGTATTTACGAAATTGTTCGGCGATACTTCAATGGTTTACGTAATATGAATTTAAATTAAAAATGCTTATACGGGTTTATTTATAGCAGTAATAATTTATCTAATGGAAAAGTTGGGACAGAATATTTTACAGGAGCTGAGATTTGCTGTAGATTCGCGTATTTAAACTTAACGTATGACACGAGAATTATTTGCGTATGATTGTTGATATAAATGCACTTTTCATTAATTAGTCAATGATTAGTACTATTTAAGCATGATGATATATATATATAGTAGAAATATCTCTTACACGACCAGGATGGGCCATTAGAGCCATTGTTCGATGAGGGTTACCGTCAATTGGTAATATTTGTAAACCAACCTTCATAGCAAATAATAACAACCTTTAACCAAAATATAGATGGCCTACAAATTTTTAATTTTCTGCTACTGGGTTGATCTAAATTTGAATTAATACTATCATTGGTATCAAAATTCGCTAACTCTATAATACTTGTTAATGGAGCTACAACATATGTATATATAAGTAAAGTTTTCATCCTAAGAGATCCCTTTAAATGAGGGACTAATTATAAATAAAAAATAAAAGATTCTTACCTTATCATTAGTAATAAAAGCCAAATAACGATTCCCATTAGGATTTTCTTGTAGTAATATTTCCATTCTATGTTAAAATTTATATTAGGAGTAAAGATTAAATTCTATTTTTGTTACCATAGCATGGATAAAGTAAATGATATCACATTGCTAAGATCTTACTTTTGCAATGGACTACCATAAGTTGGTCCTAGTAATGTCTTACGACACATCTTTGTAGTTGAATTGTATAATTTCAACTTAAACTAGAATAGGTAAATCAATATTATACATAGAATTTAGAGGATTTTTAAATACGCAATATCATTTCTATCTCAATATAGATTCTGCTATGAATGATTATGAAGTTTGTAAGCTAAATATAGATCTAAATAGAAGTTAGATAGTAAAAAGATTAAAATTGCCATAGCTTATTGATAAATCTATTTTTCAGCATTTGAATGTGATACCTGATCATTAGCAAGTAGTAAGAAATTCTCCTTAGTAATCGGAGGATACCAAGTAATACATGTTGGTATAGCACTCTGTTCAATTCTGTCAGTGCTCAGCATTTGTAAGTCATCTTTACTGCTTTTATTGAGATCATATTCCACCTATTCGCAATGAATATTATAAAATGGTCACTTAGTCTTATACTGTGCAGTTGAATATTATAGTTTCTGTTTGTACTTACAAGGACACGATCTTTGCCAATAGAAATTAATCGAGGCAAATTAGTATCTAAAGCGATGCCAAACATTAAGCCTTTGATAGATTTGTAGTGGGCTCGTTGTCTGCCTAAATATACCCATGGTTCATCTTTATTTTTTAATTGTGATTTATAAACCGATACTGCAAAGTCATCATCCTAATTGGTATAAATAATACGCTAATTGTAAATAACCACAGTATTTACTACGATGGAGGAAAAAATATGCATTTAAAAGATCTAAGAATATGGATTAAATTTACTACTAATGAATCTCGGTAATTCTGTAGCAAAATTTAATCGAAATTCTACTATTTACCGCGGTAGCTAGATATTTGCAATCATGAGAGAAGCAGGCATGGCTAATGCTATCTTTACTATATTTGAAGATTGCTTGAGGCAAATCCTCCAATGTAATTGCATCCATAATTCTAATTATTCCATTTGTAAAGCCACAAGCTAATAATCCAAATAAATTTTAAACATTATTATCAAAAAATGACTAGAGTTACATCTAAAACGCTTGTAGCTCTGTCTTACCAATGAAAGCCCCTTTAGGATCGAAAGCAATACACTGAATTAAGGTTGGCTTATCAAAAATTCTATTGCGTAAAATTTGCCTGAAAATTGAATTAATTTAAAGATATCAATATATTAACTTCTTCAGTCCTTGCAATAAGTGAAATTTCGCCATCAGCGAACTCATTATCATTCATTGATTACCTCAAATTCTTACTGACTTAAGGATATAATATAATTTAGTTCCTAATCATGTTACTTACTTGGTATTATAATTCCATATTTCAAGAGTGGCAGAATTACTTCCAATTGCTAGTCGCGGTCTATCAAAATTTGAAGAAAAAATGAAACGATTAGGATTATTTGTTGAAATTTTACAATTTTTATATCCCTTTTTTATGTAAATTATTTTGACATAGTGATAATGTGTAGAGTACGAGAAATCTTGCAACCGTTTAATAAAAGATCAATTCAATGCATAAAAGATTTCAGCAATTTTTATTTAAATCGGCTATCGTTGACGGACAAAGTTGACGAAAATATCCATGGAATTGTACTATAGCTATTTAATACTCACTCTGTTGGATGAGTTGCTAATGCATTTATAGCGGTATCATGCCCTTTAATAAGAATCTTTAAGAAAAATATTTGCCGATTAAAATCAAGAACGGTAACATTATAGTTATCGCAAATTGTAGCAGTTTCACGTAAGGATAAAATAGTTATGTTTACCTCCACATGACTACCATCTGATACAATATGTGCGATTTGAGCTAGACTTGTTGAAACAATAAAATTTGGGATTACAAATGTACTCCCATGGATGGTTGCGTCTCTTGGGTATTCGTTACGTTCGAGATCAACACTAGGAATGATTCAAATATAAATAATTCATTATCAAGATGTAGTTATCATTTATAGTTTATATAATAATTAGCTGGTATTATACTCGTAGAAAAATAATTACGTTTTAGAGAGGTTACTGGCAAAGGAAATAGAGTTAATTGGTCCAGCGTTTATGTTGTTAAACCTAGAAGTAAAATGTAGATGATTGTATATTGAAAGAGAAGTTAATGCCAATATCAGAAAATAGTTATCTGTTAACTTACCAGTTCGTTAGTCTCATTTCGGTATCATAAAATTTAACATGGCCCAAGCAATCACCGGTCACAATATAACTGTAGAAAATTATGATGTAAATGAATAGGTTAACTTTGATATCAACTGCTTTGTAGCAATAAATGTAAACATCTATTTATTATTGTAGTCTTCTATAACTTACTTTCCGATTGTAGTTAAGTAGGTAATTGCTTTTTCTTGTACACGAACAATTTTCAAAGCTTTCTTTAGCGGTAAGCCTGAGAATGAATATAAATTTAATAAAGCCAAGTAAAGTATTGATAGAAATTATTATTGATATATTTGATGTAACCATAAATTTATGATATCTCTATTTTATATTACATAATTAACCTCTTTTATCCTTTCCTTTATTATCCCAAACAACAATATTACCGACACTCGTTGCTGTAAAAGCTCGGATAACATTACGTATGAATACTGATTGACAATAATTGCCAACGGTTCTATTGAAATCCTGTGTTAATGTAATCAATGAAATTAAACAAATTAAACAAATTAAACAAATTGATCATTGTAATTGCAATATTATGCTAGCATACCTTATCAGTTAATGATGGGACATCGTAAAGTAGTTCATTAAATTGCTATAATGGTAAAAATAAATTTTAAACTTGTATATGCACTACAAACATTAAAAAATTGGTTTTGACTTAAACTTACCCATGAATAAAATACTACTTGACGTTCGCTATTACTAATCAACATGCGATTATCATCTGGTCTGAAAGATATATGTGTCTAAAGAAGTAGTTAAGCGATCAATAATCAGACTAATTACAAACTGAAGAATTACAAATGAAAGGCAATAATTACTTGTAATGGGATATCCTCATCTAGCTGCAATGTATGTAATAAGTTGTTATCCGCAGAAGTCCAATCCCAGACACAAAGTTCCTACCGCAGAAATTATCAAAAATAAAAAGTAGATCGAAATAAGAAATTTAATGATCTAATTCTGAGGGTCTATGCTCTTTATATGACAGAAGTTACCTGTGGTTGAGATGCACTCAATGTTGCTAGATATTTCGAATCATTTGATAACGTCATTGCCAAAACACCGTTTTTATGAGGATCAAAAAAGGTTTGCACTGGAACTCTGGTATCATCAAGATAGATAAGCCTTAGGATATTGTGAAACTATGTAGTTAAAAAGTATTTTGAATAGGGTTGACTTACATGTTTTGAGCATCCCAAATAACAATGGTTGGATCTTTTCCTTGATCAGCAATGGCAACCCAACGTTTATCGTTGCTTACGCAAATGCATGATATACTGTTGCACTGATTGATATTATAACAATGTCACCATATATCTACATGTTAGTATACGATTTTAAGGTGATTAATCATGCTAATTTTATACTAACATGTCCTTGCAGAAGTTGTTGCTTATTGGTCTCGTAATCGTATAATACCCCAGTATGAGCAGTGGCATAGAGGACAATCTGCATATCGAATAAATTGATGGATTAAATTGTATATGTATATACAAGTTATAGATGTGTATTGCAATGTTTGTCGTAAGTGAAAATATAGACCAAGTTTAGATGTGATCAAGGTTTGGTGTATTTGATAGATACTACAAATAATAGCGTGTTTTAATTTGGTATTTTGTTTATAACATTACCTTTCTATCATCAGAAGCCATATTAACCACTGGGATATTTCTATTTATCCCAAACGACCACATCAAGTTCTAGTCGTAAGTTTAAATATAAGCAATATTAAAATAAAAGAAATCGATATATAGAGGTTGTAATTTTAGGTTATTACAGTTATGACTAAAATTCCATCATTAAATATTATAAATAGACAATATTGCAATCTATTTTAATGTGATATTAGTCGAACCACGCTCGTTTGTATTTGGCGTACTGTATGGACTTGTCCTTTTTACTTTACATTATTGACTGGCTAACAATAACTACGACTCGATGGTCTTTGCCTTACCAAAGCATTACTGGCGGTAGCAGTAGGATTGTCTGAGGTCGAATTTTCTTGATTTTTAGTATCCATTTATGATAAAGGCTTTATGAAAGTCTTATAGTTGTATTATTAGCAAGTATGATTCGACAAGTCTGAGATACTGTTGTTATACAATGTATTTCTAAAACTGATATTTAGCAAACGTATTCTGCGATGGTTAAATCTTGGTGATAACTGTACAGATAGAAGGGACGATTAAATGGATGCTTCTTACGTAGTAATGTTTATAGTCGTCACATAGAAGAAAGTTTGGCTCTGCTACAACTAATAGCTAAAGAGAGTTGTAGGCCAATCTGCAGCATAGTCGTCATGGTTACGTTGCAAATAGGCATAATCCTTAGGCAATTTTTACGCATGCGTGATAATGGCTTCTTACTGGCAGAGAATCCAAGGCCTCCAGACCAGATCCATTTTAGTAATAATGCTGTCTCGTTTGGCCAAGCCATAGACTTGAAGTAGTACGCTAGTAGTGTATGGAACAGTGTATAGCAAACTAAGATTTACCGTATTAATTACTGTAGTAGGGTGGTACTGCATTGGTATCACAGTAGTATACAGTATAGCCTACGTTTCAGCTGGGGTCTTTCCCACTTGTTATGGCTGAATCTGCAAGTTGAAATTGGTGGAATTTAATAGTTAGAAAAGCAAATCTACTTGCAAATCTGCAATAAACTAATGCTGTCATATGGAGTATTGCAGCTATTATCGTTAAAACATTTTTAATGGTTCTTTAAGTGAGTAGACTACAGTTTTGACGTCAGGTAGTTTTGTTAAACAAATCATTGAATCACAGAACCGGTCGATCAAATTGGAATATATATATGCAGTATACTGTCTATATCGCCAAGATATTCGCACATATTGGGTAGTTATTATTATTTTCAGTTACTAGTCACGTTTATATACAATAGTAAAGCATCGAATCGATATTACCATTAGTTTTGGTAGCCAGCAAGTACAGAGATCTATAGGAAGCACAAATCATGACCGATGATAATCAAGGTTGGTATGATTGAAAATAAAGACTTGCAAAATCGTTAATGGGATTCAGCTACCATGTAGAATAGTGTTGTTTACTAATAGTACTAAAGACTAAATACAGTAGTAGAAACTGTTCCTATATTTATAGTAAACTGGAAAGTGTGCATAGACTTCATCTAGTTTTACTACTTTATTTGAAAGACTTGATTTTATGCTATTACGATTGATGTCTCGAGCTTATAACTTTATTGTACAGTTCAAACTCTACTCTGATATTTGTAGGAAAATTGAGCTTAGCATATACATCGATAGCGGTTGGCGTGGTTATTATAGTCCTTGGGGTACCGCTATGGTGGGTAACTACCGAAGTCTATCGAGCTCCATTGCCGTACAATAGAATAGCCCAGTTGGCATTTCTACAGGTGATGTTATATAAATATACGCGTACAGTATGTAAATATGTAGCTACGGTCCTTATATTAGTAACTAAGACTGTTATATTTAATTAAAGAGTATTATCCAGTAAGCATTGCCTGGTTATAAAATGCACTTTATTTCTCTTCGATAAGCTACGTCAGTTATAACCAAAAATTTATACCGTAATATTTTATTCATTACTTACTAGTTGTAAATAATGACTTTGTAAGTACAGTGTAATAAAGTTGATACAGCACTTTAGAACTGTACTATTGCATTTTATACAGTATGTTGTGCTGATGGCTACATTATATATTAGGCAAAAGCTCTTACGATATTGTAAATCAGTCACTACCTGCAGAGTATAGTAGCTGCAAATTAATTCTATTAGTGCAAATATTATATAATAGATTAGAGCAGACATTAGTACACTTTAAGTATGAATAGCAAATGACAAGCTAAAGCATACAATTCTATGGTATTATAATGGCTCTATCTCACGGTATCATTATTTGAAAGCTATAGCATTTATAATACTGTCAATTTTTGGTGATTATAATGGTCCATCATTGCTGCTAATATCGTAAATCATTCTTTAAGTTCTTATTTTAAAGTGTGTACTTATTGCTCCTGTTATTATAGCCGCAAAGTGTTGTACCCGTTGAAGTAGTATGGCTAACTAAGGGAGAAGGTGTCACGGAAGAGTCCACAAAACTGTCGGAGCTACTGAAAGCTAACTTAAAGTGTAAGTAGGGTCTATAACTCCTGTATGATGTCACAGAATACAGCAATCATAAAAATGAAGAATTATTAATTTCTACTAATTATATTGTTATGCTAAATCCACTTATTAACCATTCCATCCGTTTTATACAGCGGCCAGTTCTGATAATATGACTATCATAGATTATATTATTACAACGAGAGTGGGTAACGAAATGGAAATGGAAATAGTTAAAGAGAATTTAATCGCACTAAATGGTCAGTATAGCCAGTATAGTATCTACTGTATGTATGCTAATAGTATTAGTACTCGACCTAGTCAGTTTTTAGTGTAGTATTTGATAGTTCCAATGTAAAATTGCTGTATTTTTTATCAGTAGAATAGTAATAACCACCCAAATCTCTATTATTGGATATGCTCTTCATATTAACATGTCGATTATGTAAACTTAATGGAGCGCCTTTGTGATTCAATTTCTTATCAACCCAGAAAAGAATGAATTTATTTACACGATAACTTATGTATGATATCTATATCTAAATGAAAGACATTATATACCTGTACATGCCAGGAAAAATTGTAGAATTATTATGGATACGTAAACCAAATTGTAAAATGATGACTATATGATATACCATATTGTTCTGATATAACTATTAGGTTGTGATGTGTTTATATCTATCTCGATTCATTTCTAGAAAATCTCTTTTACTTACTTTAAATTCAGTAATAGGGTATGATCATAATCAGTCACTGAATTGTTTTTTTCAATATTGTAGAATTGGATCGTAAACTTGGCGCATTAAATCCGGAATCTCAAGGATTTCGTTTCTATTTGTTGCGACCCAGTCAAATAAAGTCTCCCATAAATCGCATCTACGTAGGAAGTTACTATTCTACATTCATTGTACTCAACGATGGTAAGTGCCCGTCAGTGTTGGGAATTTTTATTGCATTTTGTTGGATTGGATTGTTTTTATAAGCTAATTTAAATTATTTTATTAGGTGAAAGATATGAGAGCTTTGCAACAAAGATTCAGCTTGTGGTCAAGGATATTTATGTTAATGAGAAAGTATTAAGGAATACAGTTACATCTATTCTTGGGTTTCGTGAGAAAAAAGTTAGCTTCATTTATTGACCTGTAATACTTCCTTATTTATCAAGAACCGTAGTAGTTTATTTCTAATCGCTGAACTTTTAAAAATAGGCCGATGTAGAAAGTATGCGAGCGATCAGATCAACGGACTGTAAGACTTCGCACTTCTATACATCTATAGGATGGCCTAGATATAGTTTATTAAATTATGCATATCTTTTTCTTACAGCTTATCAGCTATCATTTACTCTTATCAATCCTGAACCACATAATTTAATAGCAAAATGGAAGATAGCGGATGCTATTAGAAGTATAAATTTTCCCAATTGAAATTATGAACATAACTTGACGATTATTATTTTAAACACCTACTTCATATTTTCACAGTTTATTTAGATCCTTTTCTGAAAGCTTTAAAGGATTTTAGTAGTTTTACTATTGATTCGCAGGTACACTGTGCTATGTCATGTATTGAATATATTCGAATAAGTTATACTATAAAATATTGACCATGTAGATCCTTTCACGTTTATAGCCAGTAATGGTATACTTTATCTCGTTCGTAATAGGTGTTATATTACAGTGGGTTATCTATAAGGCCTTCACAGGATTCTGCAACCGGATCGTACTATCTGACTCCAAGATTATTGCCAAGAGTTATCAACTCGATCGAATCAAGATTAGGTTAATTTCTTTGCTGCCGCATAAATGATATCATTGCTGAATATCAAGACATCTATTTTTTAATTGATTCTTTAGGTTCTCATGCCACTAATAATCCTGCCGCTAATTTTATATTATACGTACCGGAGACAAAATTTAAAAATTTGCATATACGAACGTCAAAAAGTAATAAAGTGTTTACTCGAATACTGTAATACAGTGTTTTAACATCAGGGTAATTACTTTGCATGGCTTTTATAATACTATTTATAGATGATAGCCGTATGACCTACTCCTTCATTAGTCCGAGATGGGGAGGTTTCATAATTGATAGTAAAGCGCACAACGCTTTAAATACTTCGAAAGTTTATGAAGTTGATTTGAAAGAAGCTATGGACATTTTCGTCGCGCACTTAAAGCTACTACTTGGAATTCCAAAGATTGTAAGCAATCTACGTTCTACCGATTAGATATTTTTTAGGGGATAGTAAAGATGGGCAATTAAAATAAGTTTTAATTATTGCAAACATTTTTATAGTCGATGTCTGGCGATAAACGATTAGAATTTGGTAAATCAGACGTTGGCTTATCAAAATGGGTAATTCTTCGAAATTTTATTCACTTTAATTCATTGGTGCAAATAATTTTATAAAATAATGCTTGCAGGAATACAGTTGCCTTCTGAGGCGTAGAACTCTCGAAAATGTAGCATCAGCAAATCAGACTCTCACTTCATTAGCAAAACTTTTAGAAGAAATTACTAATATTGTAATAAGTGATAGGATAAAAGAGTTGGTATGGTTTCTTAAAGAATATATAAAATCTGCCTGTTTATACTCGTAGTCTGTTGTAATTGTTCTGATGAAATTCTTATTTTTATAGATTAATCTTTCAATTGAAGAATTACACAAGGTTTTCGATTGTTTGTCACCTACCAATCTATTAGAGTAAACTATACGTTCTCTTCTACGATTCGTTACTGAATTTATTTTGTTTATAGAGTTTAGACTTTATGAAAAGTGGAGATAATGCTAGAGCATTCGCTCATTCAAAAACTGCTGTTACAAATTCAGGTTAATACCATTGTAGTGATGATTTGTTTTTTATCGGTGCATTTGGTAATATTTTGTGTTTTTTCTTCCTATTATAATAGAAAAAGCATTTTTTGATGCATCATTGCTTGAACTATTATATTTCCCTAGTGATCAGAAGTAAGTTAAGTAAATTGATAACCAGAATATTGCTAATTTATTACGGCTGTCTCGATGATTGTAACATAAATCTCGTTGTTGTCCGGTATAGGTTTGCCGTTTACGTGCCACTTTTTTTACCAATCAGCTTACCTATCTTACAATCATTGTATCATGCAATTAGATTTTTATATAGACAGCGTAAAGATAAACAGAAAAAAGAATGATGTACTGAAATTGCTAGAGAAATTTTGTGCTATACGAGGATGTTGCCATTTTATTTCAGTTGCAATTGTTATCAAAAACACTTTCGATCATTTATAAACTACAAAACCGATTTAAGATAACATCTCTATTTTGTATGCAAATTATAAGTTGAGTTAATGACTTTAATTAAGCAAGTAATAAATTATTTTTGCCATGTTAACCTTATAATAGCTAGTTAACGATTGATGATTTGGCTATTTTCTGGCAAGTAACAGTTTGCAGTTTGAATACACTCTGATGATAATCCACAGTTGATAACTGTTAAATTGGTTAGCGGGATTGCTCGACATAGATTGAGTATAGTAGTTTCGGTAACAGTCTTGATATGGGAAATATCGACACAACGAATAGTTTTCATTCCAATAATAAGATTAAGTCCTCGATCCGATATGCGATTACAATTGCTAACATCTAATGTTCGCAATTTTTTCAGATAACGATTAATAGATGCCAACGCTATTTCGCTAACTCTAGGGCATCCACCAATTTTGAATTCTGACAAATCTTTTAAATTTTCACATAAAATCTGAATGCCACTATTGGTTATGCGGTAACAGTGTGACAGATTTAATTGGCGTAGAGATTTTATCCTAGCGATGTTACATAATTCTTTATTATCTATGCGCGAACAATTAGATAAATTTAATTCTTCTAGCAAGGGTAGGAAGTTTTCTTTAGATAGTTGTGAAAACCAGTTAGCTGGTAATGCACTATGAGCTAAATCGAGTGATACTAGAGTTCGAGGTAATTGAATTGCACGTAAACTTTTGAGGTCGCAATGTAACAAATCCAGTTGTTGTAATCCAGGCGAAACAGAGTTTAAGTGATGGAAGATAGCATCAGATACAACTTCTTTTTCGGACTTGAGCGACGGTTTTATATGTAGAACCTTCAAGTTTTCATCGAATCGAGCTCGAATTAACTTCCATAATTTACGTTTACTTAGTTTACAATCATCTAAATAGACCGAAGTCCAAAGAAATCGATCGTACGATATACGCTTCCATTGCTTGTTCACTTTGGCTGCTCGAGCCAAACTATGGATATCTAAAAGTGTAAATATGTACAAGATAATACTTTCAGGTAAAGAAGAGAAGTGTAATCGATTAAGATCCATATATGCGTAAAGTTTAGGTTGAAAGATAAGGGGTAGCTCTACGAGTATTTCACCCCTTTGCAGGGCTGCAGATTTTGTAGTGATGACTGGATAATTCCTCCACCTGCAATAATTTGATGGCTAACCAAGTTTGTAGAATCTGGAATGAAGTAATCAACTATACTAGAGCATCTAATGTGATAATATTATAAAAAAAACATGCAAAAGATTCCATATTTTGGGTTTTTCTCGGCATAAACAAATCTCCAAGTCTGCATTTGATTGCTATATATGTACACTACAGTATAATTGCCCGACGTGGTATGGTCTCGATGACAACAAGAAGCCTCCGGCTGCCCGAGCAAGTCAAGGCAGGTCACAATCACTGGGGATAAGGACGCAAAGCTCAGCGTTGTCTATAGAAGGGAGTAGAGTGATTATTTATTGGTCATTTTAACTGCAGCGTAGCTCTACAATCGTACGCTATACTATAAGCGATTGTCATTCAAGTCTTCTTATATTAAAGCGCACGGTAGTTTCAGTAGTACACCCAGTACAGTATTCTAAAACGACAAGAAAAATGCACAGTGTTGGCATAGTGAACTGTTTACTCTTTTGTACATACGCAATCCAGCAGCTCCTTTGCATAGCAATCGTAGCCAGTATAGTCTATATTCTCAGATATACGTTCCAGTTGAAATGACGAGCAAAAATACAGTCGTCTGCTTGCATATTTTGAGTATACCGAAGGACGACTGTTTCCTGTCAACGTGGAGTACATTTAAAGGTATGCGCACCTTTCTTTGCACTCAACGGCCACTTTCCATCACTCGTTCAGCAGTGCAGTGCTGTACAGTATTTAGGTAAACCATATGAGTTATGCGTTAGGTCATGGACTCCTAGACAAGTACTACTGTAGTTGTTTTCTTTTCTGGAAGTCCATGGTTAGGTCCTGGGCTACTCGATTATCTAGCTCCCCTCTTGCCTCGAGTGCATTTCCCCCATGATGTCAACATGACAAAATTATACGTCCCTGATTGCATGCTAGAATAAAGAAGAAGGAAGTTGCAAATAGTCCATGGCATAGTCTACTGGAAGAAGACCTTCTCGTAGTCCATGTCCGTGGTCATAAACTACTGTATACAAATGTCCATAACGAGTTAATCACCTCCATTGGCTCCATAACAGATTAACCGATTGAAGAAGTAGTATCAATGATGTAGTACAGTACTTTGCTTCCTGTACTGTAGGTAGTGCACAGTACTGTACACTGTACACTGTGGAGTGTTGCCTCATCACGTGTGTATCGGGACCGATGCTTCATACAATCCTATTGTTGATTGGGACCGTTTGGAGGAACTGGTGCGTCTTATTGGTCTCTAGTGTGCTACTCATTCACCTCCTTGCTGCTTGATTGATTGATGATTGTCTGTAATCGACATCATGGTATCCTTAATTACTGTCAATAACATTGATAAATAATGTATTAGCAAATCATATTATCATTTCAATTATACAGTACATGCACAAGGAGTACAAGTAGGACAATCATGAGTTTTACGCGTAGCCAATGTTGACGCTAGCATGGAGCTCGTAGACTTTATTCCTAATGAGCAGAGCCTTTTAATTAGCAAGACGAAATTAAGTTGAAGTGGAAATTTGAAAGATCGAAGCAGGTAATTTTTACATGCAATGGTGTTAGATTAGACAATAATATAGAGGGCCAGCGATATTACTTTGGATGTAGGAAAGAGATATACTGTACTGTAGGTTACTTTTTATTTATTAGCATCAATACAGTAAGTGTTTCACTACAGTACATCTCATGATAATTTTACTTAAAGTCCTTGATCCAAAATTAAAATAACATCACCAGAGTGCTTGATCTCATTTACTTTAGCCCTTATTCAGCTAATAAAGCGCTGTTGATCGATTGAACGCGTACTATATACTCGATCCAACACTCTATATGTGCTTGGCAAAATGTTATAGCAGAGGAGGAGGAATGGCTCGAGTAGAGCATGCAGAATTTAAAAAAATTTTTAATTTTGATTATGTCAATCGGTGAACAATGAGGAACATCTATATATCTATATATAAACAAATTGTTCAGAATAGTATTGCATTGTAGATATCCTGATTAATTGGAGCATCGTACAATGTTATCTATTTTAAATGAAATAATTTAACAAATTGAAATGAAAACAGTGAGATGACTACTGCAAATTAAGTCACTGTAGGTCGGTTTACAATTTATATTAATTAATAAATAAATAAAATATCTTATCGTCTTATATCTTATAGCACACAGTATAGACGCTATGGATGGCAATATTTCTTACGGATTGTACACCTTCATCGTAAAGATCGCGTCGACATCGGTGTTTCAAGTTTCATTGCTTATAGTTGTTGTAATGATGTTAGCTTATCATTCCACAAATTTGAATGATTGGTGTACAGTTGTAGCTCAAAAGAATGTATTATTGGTAATAGCACATCCAGATGATGAATGCATGTTTTTCTCACCATGCGCTCAGGCTATGGCAAAGTATGCTGAAAATGTATACCTGCTTTGTATATCTGACGGTAGGATACTTTCCTTGCTAATTATGCTGCTATTGAACTAAACCAACAATGTTGAAAAGTCTTATTGAAATGATGTTGGCATTAGGAGATTATCATGGAATGGGAAAGATCCGCCCAAAGGAACTTATTAAAAGTTGCAAATTTTTAGGAATAGACCGTATTGAAATCATTTTTAATAAGTAGGGATCGAAAGATTTATTATTTTAGTACAGAAATTTATCTCAAATAAGGTTAAGAGTAATGCTCTGGCCCGTCGTAGGATTGATCATTATTAATGCAGCTATTCTTGATTATGTTGCAGATTTCTACAAGATGATCCAAACGCAAACTGGGATAAAAAATTGTTGAAAAAAATTTTTCGTGATAGAATTTGTCAGCATCGAATAAATGTGGTTAGTCTAGAATAAGACACTAGTGCATTAATCATAGCGAGAATAGGATAGATGTTAAAAAATTATTATACGTAGTTGTGTCATAGTATATTACTTTATTTGTATAAATAGCAGGATGATGCTAAGCTTCTATTTTCATCAATTCTTTTATGAATGCATAGTAGTAATATAAACTAGATGTAAAATATTCTATGGCGATTATTTGACTTGCAATAGTACACTCACTAATCCTTCACAAGTACACTAGCATAAAGTTAAGACTAGACTTTTTTAACACTTACTGAGTTTGTGTATTGTTTGTAGATTGTTACCTTTGATGAATATGGCGTTTCTGGTCATGCGAATCATATTTCACTTTATCATGCTCTAAAGTAGGTGCTACTGTAATCTACTAGTCTTATAATTTAGATGGTCTTAGCGGCATACAAGATCTTAACATTCAATCGTACTAACCATATAGATATATGCATTTATTATCTGCTTTTTTAAGTGAACTAATCCACGAAGAGAGTGATGACTGTATAGCACAGATAGAGGCTTTTGCTCTAAAAAGCGTCAATGTTATTCGCAAATATATTGGTATTATGGACATTATTTGGACGATATTACTAAAGTTAGTTTTCTTTCACGATAAATATTTACTAGCTACCAGCTTATACAATTATTTTGTTATTGATCTATTTTACTCCAGTTTCCTGGTATACTAATAGAAACTGATTTTGTACTATTGCCAACTTTTATATTCTTTTATATTCAATATTACAGAGGAAATAGTTATGTGTGCATAAATTCTTTCGGAGGTTGCATCGCCTCACAAGTAAGTTAGGGCTGATAACATTGCTCGAAATTTTCATGTTAGCATTTAAATGTATTGTACATCTTTATTAGTTTCATGACAACAAAACAAAATGCGGCAAATTTGATTTATTTTATCTTTAAGACTATATTTTATATCGTTTTGAATTCAATAGTTAGCGATGCGAGCACATGCTAGTCAATTTGTTTGGTTCCGACGATTGTACGTTATCTTCTCAAGGTATATGTTGATTAACACATTGGAGAGAATTGGATAAAACTTAGATTTCTGTATGGCTCATCCACTCTAGCAACAGTTGGACGTTGTCTGTTCATGTGAAATAGCGTAGTCAATCCATTTATAGTCATTGTCCAACACTGGTTATACAGTATATCAGTTAATTGTATAAATAGAGTACAAGATTAAGAAAAATTATCTTCTCCGACATATAAATCTGAATAATAACTCTATCTGTATAGTTATTATCTAAGATATGATCATGGATCTATTGCATTTAAATGAAACTCTCATTTAATATACTTCTTAATAAATAAATAAGATGTTGATTTTGTAAGATGAATTGTCTATTGTATGTGGATGTATGGTCTTATTGCATTCCTCATACAGAGAGCAATTTTAAGCTTTCACTGACTTGAACAAAGTAATCCAGCCAATGTAATGAATGATATTACGAGTTATAGTCAAGTGAATTATAGGAATGTGAATGGTTGATAAGTAAAAGTTATAGTCTGGGTGAACGTACATGATTGATAATTAAAATAAATAAAATAACAGGATAATAGTATGAGATAAAATCATGTAAAATACATGAATGTTGTAAAAGACTGACAGTTACATAATTTGATGGTCTAGTTAAAAGTAAATAAGTTACATCAATGTGGAGATTAACCATTAAATAATGGATAGATAATCAATATGGGTTACAATCAAGTGCAATACATTAGTTTGAATGAATGATAATTATATCAAGTTAAGTTAACGTTTATATTACGCAATATGCAACGCAATAATTTCAAAATAGTGACATTAGGTAAGATAAAGAAGTAATACTTTTAGATAAGATGATTTAAGTCTATGCGAATCGTACCGTAGAATTAGATTAAGAATAAGCAAAGTAATGGTTGACTCAAGGTTGTAAAGTTTTATAGCTAACAAAGTCGCATTTCCGTAGTAGCAATGTACGTAGAGTCCTATCCTTCATCATTTCCATCTCGTGCTCTCTTGCAGGAGACTTCGAAAAGCTGTCTGGTGGTTGCCCGCAGCCACCATCACCTTTACATGGATATCCAGGATGAACCATTAATTCGCATGTAACAGAGTCATTGTTCACTGAATGATTTGCTTTTTCGTTTATAATTTGATCGATCCAATCTATTATTCTCTGCTTCGTTAAATTTATCCCCATCAGGCTTAAACCTCCAAAGTAATTAGTATATCTATAATACAAAAGTTAGAAAAATATCAAAGGTAAATGATATGTAAATTACGCCATTCTACACGTCATTAAGATCTCTTGAAGAAATTCATTGCATCACTTCTAAACTCGTTTTACTATTAGGTTCCATAATTTGAATTGGTAGACATACTTTACTCCGTAGTTCTCGAACACACTTTTAGAACTGATGGCTTCATGAACGACAGAGGTATAGAATGTAATTTGAGCTTCTGTTAGCCAGTTACATGACTCAAGATTTTTTTCGACGGGCATACGAGTCCACCTAATATCGAATTTGCTAATAACTGAGGCGAATACATTATTTATACCAGGTAAAACATGGCAGTGCTGATGTCCGTCGACATGGGTTGGTAGTTGTTTGGCATGATTGATAAACCATACAACCTGAGCCTCAATTTCATGCTCAACCTATGGCAAGCACAAGAAAAAATTAAAACCACCACCTAAATAACTTTTACGTATTTATTAGTTTAAGATACAGGCCAGCTTGAGATACGACGTACAGTATACTATTTCATATTGTAGATACAGTATGGTATCAAGGTATCAATCAATGTATCAGTTTCATACACTGTACGAGTATGTTGTTATAATTCAGTGACTATAATTGAATCGTTTTAATATCACCGACATACCTCAGCTAAGGAAATATCGCCGCTTGTTAAACGTTCTCTAAATCCAAACTTGCCCCAGAATAAGTTATCATGATCCGTTAACGTTTTGTAATTATAATCATTGACTGGTTTTCCTTCAGTTAAATTAGCATGCAATCCTATGGGGATTGCATGTTTCCGACATGCTTTGATTGCATATTGAGCAGATTGACCATTCACTAATAGTGATGTGCTCGTTATCATTCCCTGCAAGAAACTTTCGATTATTCCACAATCTCTAGGTATGCAGTATCCAAGATCATCCCCATTGACAATAAGCTTGACAGGTTTGTTTGTCATGTGGCTGCTATGACCATGATCGTTCTGTAAGTTATTGTGTGTACCTGTAGCAGGGCCATAGTCACTGCGATGATCAGCCATTCGAGATGTCGTTGCCTTCACTAATGCTTTAGCAATGCCACAATCCCTCACACAGCGTGGTATTTTTACTCCATTACACGTACATTAACCGCGTATCATGAATCGATGATGACTCGTATAATAATTCTTCTCGAGAAACTATTGGCAGTTTGCCATACAGATAACAATTCACCATGTGTACAGTGTAAAGTATATTAATAATCGAATAGCAAGTGGGATAAAAGAGAATTAATTTAGAGAAGAGAAGAAATGTGTTTCCAATGGCGAACACAAGCAAGCATCCGTCATCCTGGGTAGTCGAGCAGTCTCCACCGGCAACAGATGTGACCGACAGACAGCCTGCATTTTCCCAAATCCATGTCATAGCCTCATAGTCAGACCTACCACAATGGAATGAATGGTCTGTGTCCGGGCTTCCGGTATGTTGTTATTAGCCATATCGAACCGTACCGTGCCCGATCGTCGATGAAAGTGTGACACGTCTACAGGCGCAGGTAAGATCTGTAATGACAGTTAAGAGCTGCCGCCGGTCGGCCATGCTTAAGCCATCCCGCTCATGTACAGTAAAGTAATTTATTAGTGGAATGAAATAAAGTAAAATAAAAGTAAATGACTTTGATCAGCTATACAGAGAGTATATCCGTATTTTCCGTGTGTAAACTCTTTCATTGATGCAGTCATAATTGTTTTTCTGCGTAGTGAAAAATGGAATTTTTCTTGTATTGACACTTCTATAAAAGGTATTTCCTATGGCTGCCCTCATCAAAAGCGTTCATCAACGGTCGAGCGATGAATGGGGCCAGTTATGGAAGAGGTATATCCCTGGATAGGCCATGATCGCATCTCCTTGTGCGGGATAGTGCTTTTATTTTTGATGTGTTTTTACAATGGAAAAGAAGTCCTTAGTTGATAAGACAGTATCTTTTACTGCCCGGCAAAATAACAACTAACAATAACAAAATAAATGGAGTTTTTAGAGTCCTTTAAATGGAGTGAAAACGCAAGCCAAACCCAATCAAATGGCTGATTTCCAAACCCGAAATAAGTGCAATCGCTATACAAACATTGTATTACTACAGAAATTCTAAACCCGAATCCCGCCCTCGAGTCGGCTTTCGGATTAGCTTTGAAGGACATTGGACTGAGTGTTGCACTGTGTGTGCCAAGTGTACTCCAGATTGTCCAGTCTAGGCATTGGAAAGGTTGAATCGTTGAAATGTTGAGAGCGAAATATTGAATTATGATATTGGTTAAGCTAAACGAACACGGAGTATTACTGTATTATGAAGTATGCAGTAGGTCGGGAGAATCCATATGGTAGCAATAAACGTTGCATCATTACATCATTAAGCAGGAAATTTAAATTCTAATTGTTGATTTAATATACGCGTATATGCATCAATCTTGAAAACCTAGTAATAACGTCAACGAATGAATAGAGTGGCTTAAGATTGCTAACATTATTTTAAAGTACCCTGCTTAGGGAAGTATCTGATAGTGACTTTATCTGTAAATGAATGATTCATATGTCCATATTTGCTTATTGTAATATGGACAGTGTTTGGACACTAATATGGGACGTGACTTGATGCACATACTTGTAGGTATCACCTTGCTAAACTGGATAGTGGACAAGTGCATCGATCTCGAGTGGTATCAAAGTTAACGCTAGTATCATCTCGAAGGAAATGAAATCAACTAGAGGGAGCTTGTCGCCTGCGAAAGGCCACAAATACTATAGATTGATATGTTATATGCGCTCTATGCGAGCAGGTATCTCAGCAATAGATTACCAATAGTAGTATGTTTTTTTTGTCTCTCTCTTATGATTGGTAAATGATCTAGTAGGGCTTTCGGTAACTTCGACGATGCAGTAGATTATTCTGTTGTATGAGTCACTAGCCAAAGCAGTATTTTGCATAATGACAACACAAAGTTTATTTGTTGAAGGTTGGATTGAAATGAAAGCCAGACACTTGTCACTAAAACATATTGCAAGTTTAAAATACACATGTGAAAAGTTACATTGTCCCTAATGGATGGCAATTTAAACAATTAGTGATTATTGAATTATCTTTAAGCTGCGATGCACCATATTATGTAAACTAAGGGGGAAAAAATGGATTAAAATTGATTATTGCGAAATTGATACCAAACGTACGCGGTGTTACGTAATCGGAGAGGAATTTCTGAAATACCTCATATGGTGCTCTGTATTATGATTGCTTAACTCATGATATGGTAAGCTCCAGGTAAGCACTATGGCAGAGTTAGCATTTAAAAATTAAATTCTTGTTGGTTGCACAAGAGCGATATTATTGCTAGATCGTACACTATACGGTAGACAGTCTAATTTGCTAATACCGCCATGACACTATATGAACCATTATTTATATCATTGTATCATGATATGTATCATGATATATATTGGTGTACTTTTGTCAACATTTGTATGTATACTATATGCATGAATTGATGATCGCCGTGCACTATTAGCCAATATTAACAGTTGATATTGTTGAATAATCTCTGCTTTTGATGATATTTACAAACTGTATAAGTCTTGAGTCATTCATGTAAAGCCGTATGTTGTTATTTTATCCTATTTTTATGCTAACGTTGCATTGATAGGCTTGTGTAGTGGTTTGGCATTTTAGCTCGTTCTTATAGTAATGCTGTAATTGTTTGATTAAAATTCTTTAATCGGATTTAAATTTAAATTTATGATAATACAACTTCTAGGAATTTTCGATTGTGACGTAAGTTATTAAAATCAAATAAGGCTATGCCAATTTCATATACTCGTATATTACTATGAGTAGAGAGCAAGTGCATAGAGATAGATTGGCAAATTTTGGAATAAGAGCATAATAGAGGAATAGCAAACAAACTCTAATAATATAGACCAAAGACTATTATGTAGTTTTGTAAAGCAATGGCGAAACGTTGGGTATCGTTAAATGTAAAGTTAGAATTGATTTTTTGGCAGGGATATTACTTTCATTTTTATACGGTGGATTTTAAGAATCGAATTACCTACGTAATATTATCATAAAAGATTGCATGCTTAAAGGATTAAATGAACGATGGAAAGACTGTGCTGCCATGAAATCGCTATAGACTGCGTGTACTGATGTTTCATGTCGGGATTACTTATTCATTCTTTCATCTCTATCGTTCAAAAGATGATCAACTTTCACCACTAAATCATCGCGTCTTACATTGTAGGCTAGATGACTTACAACTTAATTTTGCTACGGCCTGCATAAGCGTATAAGTACACCATCATCCATTCACAGTATATTAAAATTGTGTCATCATAGCAGCCTATTTATCTATGCAATGATTGGACTGGTTTGTTTAAGGGAGATCTCTGCACTCATTTAAATTTTAATCGAGTTATTTTAAAAGTTTATATACAGCATCAATTCGTATGATGTATTAACTCGTACCGTCATTATTTCTTTTTTGAATGATTCCAGTTACTTGAAATTGGCACTAGTACTAGTACGATATCATCATACTCGTAACGCTTTTGAATAGGTTTACAGAGCATCAAATTATTTGTAAAAATAGTCTACTGGTAGTGATATGAAATTGATTCATTCGCGATAGTTGTTTTCGATGTTGCATTCAATTTTACTGGATAATAGTTTATAGTTAGTATAGCTTAACGAGGCTATTGTGTAAGCTATGTAACCTAGGAAGCCTATGGTAGTTTTATGTAGAAATGGGGGTTCCTATTTTTAACAGATAGTTATATAATTGTTTGTAACCTTGGTGATAATAAGTGCAAGAATGAAATGGTGTATCCTGGAAAAGATTTGATCGTGAGATGGCCACTTACTTTACTATACAGTAATATGGCGAGTCATCATAATATGATGTAGCGTATTTAGTGGACATATTGTTGCAGTTATCACTAGCCACTAACACAAATTGAATTTACAACGATGATACTCATGCTCAATATACTGTAAACATAGTTTTACAGGAAATTTGATACTGTCATTAAAGTTGGAAAAAAAAATTGAATAATAATAATAATAATAAAACATTGTTTTTGGTGAATTTGCTGACTAGAGTGTTCTTGTTGACTTGTGAAAGCTCACATATATGCATAACTGTTGGAGTAAAGATACATCATTGATCATTAAGTAATGATAGTTACTGGATGACTAATACTAGTGAAAGTGATGACGAATTGCGATGTAATGCGGCTTTTGTGTGTTGCGTTTATGCTTACCTAAAGCGTCAATGAAATTTTTAACCGCTGACAATGATCAACCCGATAAAATAATTATTCCAATGAGTACCATTGGTTAAGCTACGGAAAGAGAATGAATATGGATGATGAGTATGGTAACTGTATGATAAATGATGTGGGATAAAAATAAATTGTAGAGTTGATGACTGGTCTAGCAATGAGCTGTAATGTCGATGATTTTTAATTATTGATTTCAATTGAACGATTGAGTGGAGAAACGTAAAAGCTTCGATATCGATAAAAATGATTTGTCTACTCTTACGCACGGCATAGTGTGCCATTGCAATTGAAATATTGAGTGGAGCAAGAAGGATGATTTTGTTCTACTGTAGTCTATCGTACTTAGTATTGGATTGATTGATTAAGCCTGACGTAAAAGCTTGGATATGGTATTTTGGAGTCAAATTCCAATTTCATATTGGATAAAAATGATTTGTCAACTCTTAGCAGCATAGTGTGCCATTGCAATTGAAAATATTGAGTGGAGAAAGAAGGATGGCTTTGTATTAGTCTATCGTACTCAGTATTAGATTGATTGATTAATTAACCCTGACATCAAAGCTTGGATATGGTATTTTGGAGTCAAATTCCAGTTTGGTATTGGAAAAGAAATGATTTGTCAACTGTTAGCGGCATAGTGTGCCATTGTAAT